GTATATATAGTCAAAATACTATATAGATTTATAAAATTGAGTTTATTGATGATCTCATTCAAATCCTTAGTATGTTTTCTTTAGCTTATATGACCTGCCAAAGTCTGAAAGTGTTAAAATACTATACTATGATCAGATTTTATCATATCCCCATATTTTTAGAAGTTTTAGCTCTAGATATCTGGTGGCTGTATTGCTTCTCCATAACGTTTTTATTTCAAGAAATAGAATTGAATAAATGGAGAGAGACATACCATCCAACTGAATGGGCAGAATTACCATCACATAAATGATAGTTCTTCCAAAATTATATGTAAATTTAATGACCTTCTGATCAGAAATCCAGCACTTTTTTGTGTGTGTTTTGTGTGTGAGAGGGAGCACTGGTTAGAATTACCTAAAAAATGTTAGAATAAAAATTAACAAGATAGTAAACAACGCGTGTTGGAGAGGATGTGGAGAAAGAGGAACCCTCTCACACTGTTGGCGGGAATGCAAGTTGGTGCTGCCACTTTGGAAAACAGTGTGGAGATTCCTTAAATTAAAAATAGAACTTCCCTATGACCCTGCAATTGCACTACTGGGTATTTACCCCAAAGGTACAGATGTCATGAAAAGAAGGGCCATCTATATCCCAATGTTCATAGCAGCAATGGCCACAGTCGCCAAACTGTGGAAAGAACCAAGATGCCCTTCGATGGATGAATGGATAGATGTGGTCCATATACACTATGGAGTATTATGCCTCCATCAGAAAGGATGAATATCCAACTTTTGTATCAACATGGATGGGACTGGAAGAGATTATGCTGAGTGAAATAAGTCAAGCAGAGAGTCAATTATCACATGGTTTCGCTTATTTGTAGAGCATAAGGAATAACACGGAGAACATGGAGAGATGGAGAGGAGAAGGGAATTTGAGGAAATTGGAGGGGGAGACGAACCATGAGAGACTGTGGACTCTGAAAAACAATCTGAGGGTTTTGGAGGGGCGGGGGGTGGGAGGTTGTGTGAGCCTGGTGGTGGGTATTATGGAGGGCACATATTGCATGGAGCCTTGGGTGTGGTGCATAAACAGTGAATTCTGGAACACTGAAAAGAAATTTAAAAAATAAATAAAAAATTTCAAGAAATGTTAGGTGGAAAGAACATAAATGTCCATCAACAGATGAATGGATAAAGAAGATGTGGTATATATATACAATGGAATACTATGCAGCATCAAAAGAAATGAAATCTTGCCATTTGTGATGACGTGGATGGAACTAGAGGGTATTATGCTTAGCGATATAAGTAAATCAGAGAAAGACAATTATTGTTTGATCTCCCTGATATGATGAAGTTGAAAAGCAACATGGGGGGTTTGGGGGTAGGAAAAGAATAAATGAAATAAGATGGGATCAGGAGGGAGACAAACCATAATCTCATGAAACAATCTCACAAAACAAACTGAGGGTTGCCAGGAGGAGAGGGGGGTACAGAGAGGATGGTGGGGTTATGGACATTGGGGAAGGTATGTGTGTGGTGAGTGCTGTGAAGTGTGTAAACCTGGCGATTCACAGACCTGTACCCCTGGGGCTAATAATACATTATATATTAATAAAAAAATTAAAAATTTAAAAAATAAAATGTTAGAATACTTAGGGATGGAGAATTTTCCTTATCATATGTTAATATTATAGTAATGAAAACATTGTGATATAGAAAATATAGAATTAAATCAATTGACTGGAATTAACAGATTCTAGTATTGTGAGAAATTAATGTATGATAAAGGCTGAATTTCATTACACTGGAAAAAGGAATGTTTATTAGATAAATGGTGTTAGCATAATTGGCTATCTGTTTCAAAGAGAACAAAATTAGGGCTTTATACATACATTTCTGTAGGTGAAAGATTTAAATGTAAAATACAATGATACTAGAAGATTTAGAACACTGTGTCATTTTGAGGTAGGAAAGATCTTCACAGACAAAACAAGGAATGAAGAAGAAATAAAGGAAAATATTGACATTTAACCACATAAAATTTAAAATTTCTTTTTGGCAGAATACACCATAACTTATATCAAAAGACTTAATCACACATATAACAGTCAAAAAATTGATACCCTTAATCTTTGGATAGGGAAATAGACGATCCAATGGAAAAATGGACAAGAATGTAAACAGGCAGTTCACAGAAGAGAAAATGCACATTGTTCCCAAAACCCATAAAAACGATGCCCCATACTAGTAGGCAAGAGGTACAAATCAAAATAACAGTGAAAAAAAAGTTTCCGCCTACCCAATGGGCAAAATATGAAAGGGTCTGGACACATCAGATGATGTGTTCTGGAGAAGCAGACACCTCATACACTGTGTGTGTGGGGGGGTGTGTGGATTAATATGGCATTTTCTGGTTCACAGTCTTTGACATGGCAGTTTCACAGTTAGGTCTGTCCTGTAGGAATAAAAACACCAATATTTACATGTACAAGGATGTTTATTTTAACATGTTTCTGTAATAGTAAGAAATTTAAAAATATCTATATGTTTGATAATAGGGAAAGGTCTAAACAAATTATAGTACATTTGTCCTATGCAATGTTTGACATCTATTAATAAGGATGCCTCGGGTTACGTGTATTGATTAGGAATAATCTTTATAGGGGCGCCTGAGAGGCTCAGTGGGTTAAAGCCTCTGCCTTCAGCTCAGGTCATGATCCCTGGGTCCTGGGATCAAGCCCCACATCGGGCAGGCTCTGTGCTCAGCAGGGAGACTGCTTCCTCCTCTCTCTCTCTGCCTGCCTCTCTGCCTACTTGTGATCTCTCTCTGTCAAATAAATAAGTGAAATCTTAAAAAAAAAAAAAAAAGAACTTTGATTATGTCTATCATCACTGTAGCCCCAAAACCTGGCATAAGATAAGCATTCAGGGGCGCCTGGGTGGCTCAGTGGGTTAAAGCCTCTGCTTTCGGCTCAGATCATGATCCCAGAGTCCTGGGATCGAGTCCCACATCGGGCCCCTCTGCTTCAGCAGGGAGCCTGCTTTCCCCTCTGTCTCTCTGCCTGCCTCTCTGCCTACTTGTGATATCTGTCAAATAAATAAATAAAATCTTAAAAAAAAAGGAATAATCTTTATAATAGATGAATTAGAAAAAATAAATTTCAAGGAGGTGTTAATAATGTGATCACATTAATATATGGGTATAGAGAAAGATTTGGGCAGGTGGACACACACACAAATGTTATTGATTATCTTGGATGAATAGGATTGAGAGAAGGGTGGCAATGAGGAGAACAATTTTCAAAATATATAGACCTTTGCACTTTTCTGCCTTGTTGGCATAAGTTCAAAACATTACTATTTATTTATTTTAACCCATAACTCACACTTAACTAATTTCTTATGACTTGCCATGAAGCCTGGTGTTGGCCTGTTGGTTGATTTTTTAAGGGGTGCTGGGCCTCTGAGGGGAGAGCCCTGTCTTCCGCTCCCCAGCCTGTATGACTTTCTGACTCCTTTATCTGTCCCTCTTATTTCTGTGGATTCATCACTTCAGCCATTTTCTGGCCAAAATGTTGTTTCTTTGCCCTTTTATATTTCATTTGTGCTGGTCTAGGTTGATAATCAGTAAAGAAAAATCACACAGTTCCATTAGTGTCCTGTAAATTTGTGGTCTTCCAGCTTCCCATGATCCCTTAACATGGCTCTGCAGCCCTTCTGTTTTCCCTTGTTACCTCTGCCCTTAATGCAGGTGGTATTTCAGACAACCCCCTTCCTCAAACTTCTCGTGCTGCCATCTCTTCTCTAGAGCAGCAAGGGGCTGGAGACTCTGTAGGGAAAATGGCAACTCCATAAACCACTCGCTGCTAAACATGCAGACTTAACCCCTTGTCTTGTGCTGAGGCTGACTGGCCCCCTGTGCTGGGACTGCCAGCCCCCCTGTCTCCTGGGAGGCTGGGAGGGATGCGGAAGGGGTGTGTGCTCTCTGCATGGGTTAGCCCAGCCATCTCCTCTATCTCCTCCATGTTTCCTCATTTGTATATCCCCTGGAATAAGTAGCATAGCCTAGAATACCTGTGTCTGATTCCTTGTTACCTCCCTGGCTTGTCTGTGTTCTACACATGCTTGTGTAGAAAGAAGGAAGGATATTTGGGTAAAATAATGAGAAAACAGCATGAGTTAAAGAGAGTAGAAGATCTCAAGAGCAAAGTGAAAGAAATGACAGAACAAACCTAGAACAGCCTTTCTTTCCTATATCCAGATGCTTCTGGCCAGGGTGGGAGGAGAGTGGGGGACCTGCATTACTCTTACCAAGCAAATGAAGGTTTATTTGTTAGGACAGCCAAACTATGGCATTGTGATTTCTTAGCTAGAGTTAGAAGCCTGATGGTCCTATTTTGATATTTGTGTTCTTTTACACGTTTCTAAAAACAGATGAAAGATGAAACTTTATAAACTGTGTTCTCCAAGCATGTTCTATAGGAAAGTAGCTTGGGATGGGTCTTGGGAAATACCAAATTAATTAAATCTTTAATGTGCTGGCTTGCTTTCTGAATTTCCAAGTGTGGTGTTTTTTACCTTTATGACCACAAAGACTTTTTCTGCACTTCTGTCCTCTTTCCTGAATGTATATCATGTGTCCCTAGAAAAATAGTTTGGGAACTGCAAGAGGACACAAATATGTGGCACTAAAGAAGAAAAAAGAGAGAAAGAAAAAGGTCAGGTTGCACGATGCCCGGTAACATGACTAGTCACCATTTTTTATTCACTGTCTTTTTTTGGTACATTTTGAAGATGGAAGATGCCTTTTTAAAAATGAAACTTATTTTGACTAATGATACTATAAAGGAGATAAACTGTTTTGTAAATAAGCATAGTAGAATTCTAGTGTGGCTAACACTTTGTGTAGAAATGTAGATTCAGAAGTTTGTCATATTCTATTATTTCATGGTTTCATTAGGATCGACCTGGATTTTTGTTCTTTGAGTTATGTTCTTTATCTTCTTTTCTAGCGGCAGCCGATTGGGAGGCCTGGTTACAGTGTTGTGCTTCTTTTTCAATCATGGAGAGGTAGGTTGTCAACACCTATTTTCAAAATTGTATTTTTAGAAATACAAGTTTCTTCTTGAAGTAGTAAGTCAAATATTCTTAAAAAATTTTAGGAGATTATACCTCCAGAACTACAGGTTTCTTTTTAAATTTTAATTTAAATGTAGTTCATGGTAGCATTCTTTAAATGTTTGGTCTTATTTTAATTCAAATTTTAACACTAGTACTTATCTTAAGTTAACTTTTCATGAACATTATATCCTTTATGTGATATATCTCTTAGTGATTTGAATAGTGGCTCTGCGTCAATTCTTTATATAATTTCAAAGTGTGAACGTTCATGTTTAGCTATAATATAAATAAGTTGACCATGGATAAAGTTAATTTACTTGTATGGGAATAACTTTTTTGGTAGGAGCTATATAGTATGTTTCTATTTTAATGCATCTTATTAAACTTGGTTGTATTTTTAAGTCTCCGTTTCAGAATATTATATTTTACCTGTAAACTTGCACATATCCAAGGGTTTTCTAAAGAGAACACTATTGTAAAAAATATTGACTCTGGATCCAAGCTACCTGTGTTCAAATCCCGGCTTTGCTGTTAGGCAGCTCTGTAACCAGAGCAAATCATTAACCTCACCTGCCTTAGTTTCCACTTTGTAAATGGGTGTAATGATGGTACTTATCTTATGGGATTTTTGAGGAGTTTAAATGAATTCATAAGTGTAAAGTGCCTGGAGCAGTGTTTGGCACATAGTAACCATTATGTAACTGTTACTTTATATTATTATTAATAACTTAATTTAGATAAAATTCTAATAAAAATTCAGAATACCAATGAAATCCTTCCACTGTATCAGTTGTAGTTGTAAATGAATTTTTATTAATATATCTCTACCTGGTTTTCTTTCATGGTAAATCTTGTGTGAGAGAAAGAGAAGAAAGGTCTTCAGCTTGTTTTGTGTGAAGTAAATTAATCCTTATGCATTTATAAACTCAGTGTGTATACTATTTGAATATGCACATGTTACAAAGCCTAAGAGTAATCATACTAAAACTGAACTGTAAAGTCAAGGTTGAACTTCTTTTTTATTGTTCAGTGGATTACTAATGGATATTGAACCAACATATGTTTAATATTTAGAATCACAGAAATTTAAAGCTAAAATGGCCTTATGAATTAGAGCATTTGAGACAAATCATTGCAATATGGCATGGTCTGACTTTTCCAGAAAAAAAAAGATTTTTTTTTTTGCCTCTTCTTGACTGTGGATGCTTTTGAATGTCATAGCATGGACACAGAACTTGTGGAGGTTCAGATCCTGTGAGAATGACCTAAGAAATTGGAAGTAACTTCTTAAGAGTGAAGGAAAGGAGCAGCTTTGAATGTTTGCAATAAGACATTGGAGGAAAGAGAGAAAAATTTGAAGTCAAGGTCTGCAGTTTTAACGACAACTATTTGTGAAGCAGAAAGGTCTACTGTGTTACCCTCAGTCTAAATTAGAGGCTGTCAATTCCTGATCTTACGTTTTTCTTAAAATTTTGATACTCATGTAGCATGAGCATCATTCCTTACAAAGTCTTTTCAGTTTATACCAGTGAAATTTGGACTATTTCAGTTCATTTTTCAGGTTGATAGACTTTTTTTTGGGATACCTTTCAGCTATTTGGTCTGTTTATTTTTTTTATTTTTTCAAAATCTTTAAATTTTTTATTTTTTTAGGAAATTAAAACAATTTTTTTTAATTTTTAAAAATTTTTCCTTTTTTTTTTTTACTATGTTAATCACCATACAGTACATCATTAGTTTTTGATGTAGTGTTCCATGATTCATTGTTTGTGTATAATACCCAGTGCTCCATGCAATCCGTGCCCTCCTTAATCCCCATCACTGGGCTCACCCATCTCCCCACCCCCCTCCCTTCTAAAACCCTCAGTTTGTTTCTCGGAGTCCATTGGTTCATCTCCCCCTCCGATTTCCCCCTTTTCATTTTTGCCTTCCTTCTCCTAATGTCCTCCATGCTGTTCCTTATGTTCCACAAATAAGTGAAGCCATGTGATAATTGACTTTCTCTGCTTGACTTATTTCATCTAGCATCATTTAGCATGACCTCCTCCAGTCCTATCCATGTTGATGCAGAAGTTGGACATGCTTGCACATCACTTTCTAGTTAGGAGAGGGTAGACTAATGTGATTAGAATTAGAATTTCAGTTTTACTGAAATAGTCAAGTAGGGAATCATACTTATATCAGTAACTTAGCTTTCGAGTAGAAAAGGGACCATTTGTAAAGACATTAAAATTGAGGGAATAAACTGTAGCTTTGGGTAAAATAAGTTAAGAACTTAAGTAATTAAAATAATTTAATATTTATTTTGGTTTTCAGACTGTGAGATTGAGACCCAATTATTTTCCTAAATTTTAAAAATGTTGCCCCAAGTCTATAATTTTTATATGAGGGAAGTATCTGCTGTGGTAGTACCCATTCCCACATTTAGTGAACTCTGTTCGAGTGTCACAATGTACTCACTGAAATTGCTGGTGGGTTACTGACTGGTACTTGGTATTCCTTTTTCTTAGGAGAGTTATGCTAATCATGCCAATGAGTGGTTTATATACCAAAAAAATAGTTGTGAGTTGTTACTTGCTTTTTTGAGCTATTTCCATTATTCAGTTCGCTCTGTATTTGAGTCTAAGATAGACTATGATGTACTTTTGAAAATACTCTTTCACTCAGATGGTTTTACAAGGGAAAATTTTGGCCTCAACAAAAGAACTGCAAGATGTGTAATATAAAGGGATTGATCAAATGATTTAAAACAGAAGTTGAAACCTTCAAATCTGGAACCTGTGAAGATGTAAGGAAGAACTCACTGATTGCTCATAGTAATGATCAATAATATTGAGGCTATACATTTCATAATAAAAATTATGTTGATGTTTTCACTTATCAAGCTTTTTTTATTAAATGTTGACTCTGTCCCTGTTGAGAATAATTGCTAAGAGAAACGCCAAAAGTTTTGCTCTGCCTTTTAAATTCTTCCTTATTACAAGATCAGATGTATGTTCCATGGCTTGATGCTGTCGGATTTTTATCATGCTGACTGGAAAGCAGTTAGAGGAGTATATGGAAAAAAATGAGATATAATATTTATCTTTAATTTTTGACTATTAAAAATTCATTATATGTGAAGTAATTTTGTTTAACTTTTTCATGATAAGATTTTTAGGAAAGTTATTACCAGGCATGATTGATGGTGTTTTATATAAAATACGCTCACAGATAAAAAGATAGGCACATTTATGAGGAAGAAAATCCCCCCTTTTTTTTGGAACCTAAGTAAATCTAAGTAGTATATGAAAGAGGCATATTAGAGGCATATCTAATTAACCTTTCTTTGTTACCCATAACATATTTCTGACCCATATTAGTTTCTTAAGTATTTTTTAACTGATTTCTAATTGGTTATTGACATATTTATGTTATTTATGTAAGATTTGGAAAACAATTCTTAGAACACTTTGAAGAGAGTCTCTTTAATCCTTAGAATGTTCTTGTATGGTAGATAAGTAGTAAATAATAATGTTCCAGTTTGTATAATATTTGGAAGCACTGAAAGGTTAAGTGTTTGAATCAAGGTTGTGAAGCGGGGACAGGATTCTAAGTTTCCTGATTAACCAGTAATCTCTCCAAATTTCTTTCAGCACAGATGGTTCTTAGGGAAGCAGGATTTCAAAGATAATACCACGGTTTATCTTTCACAAGTGAAAAGTACAGAGATCTTTCCTTGCTAATTTGTGAAACTTTTTCTCTTCCCTTTCTCTCTGTTTCTCTTTCTTCTTCTTCTTCTTCCCTCCTTCCCTTTGTCCCTTTCTTTCTTCACTTTCTTGTGGGGTCCCATTTGGGCCAGGACATTTATTCTGGCTCTTCTTTTTATTCAGCTCAATAAAGACCGTGTATACAGAGGGCTTACTGTATGCCAGGTACTTGTAGATGCCTAGGATTTGTTGATAAGTCAGTAAAGCAAAGATCCCTGTCTTTGTAGATAATCATGTGAAAGTGGGACCATCTTCTACCTAAGGTGGGGGAATACTGGCTTATATGGGGAGCAGCAAGGAGGCTTTTGTGACAGGAGCAGAGAGTGGATGAAATGAGGCCAGTTAATAACGGGAAGTGGGATATGGAAGGAGCCTTTTCTCTAGTCCTTGCTGGTCATCGTAAGTTTCATTTGAAGAAGGTGGGAAGGCCATTGGAGGGTTACATGCAGAAGAATGATGCAGCTTACATTATTTTTTACATTAATTTGGAAAATAGTATGAGTGCAAGATGCATTATTTATTCAAGCTATTGAGAGGTGTGCTTATGGATTTGTGAATTTACACTAAACTTGCATTAACTCCAAAAGTCCACAAAAAAAAAAAAAAAAAGAGTGTGCTGATCTTAGATGAGAATATATGTATTGCTTAGATGAAAACTGCCTAGAATGTAGTAGAACTAGCCTAGCCTACAGCCCACTTCATGACCTGGGCCCCTCTGGTTCTCTCACTGCTGTCCAGGCTGTTTTCTTTGCTTCAGTCCCACCGTCCTTCCTTCTCTAGTTCCCAGAGAGGAGTATTCCTTTTCCTTCCTTAGGGCTTTGGTACACACTGTCTCCTTTGCCCTGCATACTTCCCTCCCTTTTTATCACCTAGTCTTTCACATCTGGATATTTGTGTTTGGGTTTCAGTAATATTTTTTGTCCTACTGATCTGGGTTTCCATCTGGTGTAATTTCTCTTCAGTCTTAAGAACTTTATTTAACATTATGGTAAAGATCTCTTGCCAACAAGGTCTCTTAGCTTTTGCCTGTCTAAAAATGTCTGTATTTTGCCTTCATTTTTTGAAGTGTATTTTTGCTGGGTAAGAATTCTAGGTTGGTATCTTTGCCTTTCAGCACTTTAAATGTCATTCTATTGTCTTCTGGTTTCCGTTGTTTAATGAGACGTCAGTTATCGTTCTTATTGTCACTCTGCATGTGGAGTGTCTCTTCTCTGGTGGTTTGAAGACTTTCTTTTTATATTTGTTTTTTATTCGTTTGATGGTAATAAACTTAGATGTGGTCTTCTTTGTATGTGCCCCGTTGACAGCTCACTGAACGTCTTTGTTCTATGGGTTGTTGTTTTTATCAGTTTTGGAAAAATTTTAACCAGTATCTTCTCTTCATATATTTTGTTTTTCCCATTTTCTCTCTTTTTTGAAGATTCTAATTCCATGTTGGCCACATATGTTTTTTTGAAAGCATTTGTAAGTGCAAGATTTAACACAGTATTGTAGTTAACACTAAGGAATGTAAAGCAGTATTATAACTAGTAAGTCTGTGTAGCATTCAGAAGTGGGACAGTTTGTTTTAAACCTAAACATTATACCAACAGCAATTTATAACTAATCCTACAAATGTCTCCTCTAGTCAAAACTCTTGGAACAAACCTTAAATATGATCTCTCTGATGCTAACTATAATTTATAATTCAGTAGTTAGTTATACCCCTATTTAGTTTTACATTAAGGAGAGAAGTATATTACATTATGATAGATTTCTAATAGTATAAGTGAGCTATTTTGAAAGTAAAGCTTGACAAATGAAGCTCCCTATTACTAAAATTCCTTGGTTTTTGATTCTCAAGTAAATGATTTAAAATTCAGGCTTTCTAAGGAGACAATAGGAGCTTGTTCTTGTCAATATCTAGGCAGTATTATGCCGCAGCATTATTCAGTGCTTTGAAATGTGTGCTAAAAATTATATACTCTAAGAGGACAGTTAAAGGAAAGTCAGATATTCATTGAGTTCATTTTCACCATTGAGGAATGTCTTATATTTTGCCTGAGTGCTTCATACAGTGATGTAATGCCTTGTGAAGGAGTTCGCACATTTATTCCCTTCTTTAATTCCTAAATTTCAAGATAATGCCTTTAGAAGGCATTGGTGTTCTGAACTGTCCACCTATATAGAGAGCTGTATTATAATTATGATATTTATTTGTTGAAACTTAAGGTATGATTAAAGCAAATCTGTTTACTGTTTTCAGATTAGGTGGGGTCATCTGGACCAGCAGTTATGTTTGTAGCAGATCTAGTGAAGTCCGTTGTGTTATTGGAGAAACAATAAGAAGCTTTCACATATTTACGTTCATTCACTCTTAACATTGTAGAGGCAAAAAATCTTGCTCTTTGTTTCAATTCTGTAATTTAGCCTTCTCATCCTACTTTACAAAGGGTGCAATTGAATTTGAGAGAATTGAGTGCCTTCAGCTATTAAAAGAAATTTCTAAGGGATGGCAACATAGTTGAAATTGGGTAACAAAACAATGTGAGTGAACAGTCTGTATGAAGAAAATTCTCTAATTGTACATTACAGGGTTAAAATATTTTCTCTTCTTGGTTTTTGCACAGAGATTGATAACTTTGTAAATTGTGGTTATATATCTCTACTATCAATCATATTGAAATTTCTAGTTAATTTTGTGAACCAACGGATTTTTTAAATTGTGTTCCAGTAACAAAAAATACACATCAAAAAAGACTTTTTCAATTTTTTCAGAATTCTCTTGTGTGTATACTTCATTTATAAATATTTATGTTAAATCTCGTAGAGGATAGTGAATTTTGGTTAAAAAGAGAAGTAAATTGGCTCAAATTTTCTATAGCAATAGTAGAAAGATTTAATAGTCCGAGATAGAGCTAAAATAAAGGAAAGGCTTATTTCCAGTATGGTCTTTGTAATTCCATATAGTTTTTAACTGCTTGACTTGAAAGATGTCGTGATTTCTTCTAGTGTGACTAGCTTAGTTGGGGTAATATCAGATTATTTATATTTCATCCAGTGTAGTGTTCCTCTAATTGAAAGGTAGACTTATTAATTTATTTAGTGTAGATGCAAAAAATGGTACACTGCTAAAATTGGGATGGAACATTTTTTTTTTTTTTTCATTTTACTTATCTTAGAGCATGCGTGTGTGTAGGGGGAGGGGCAGAGGGAGAGAGAGAATGGGATGCAACATTACTTAATTATGCCTGAAGTGAGTTCTTCAGTAGAGATGGTACATGACATTTTAGGACTTTTGTTATTTTGTATTTGAATCCCTCTTCCCCTTTTAAATTTTCGTAGCCCAGGGTAGTTTGGGCAAAAGAGAAGTAAAAACAGAAATCGAGTGCTCTTTTTTAGGAGCACTGTGAATAGAAATGCTAACGTTGATGACTGCAAAGAGTTTTCAAGTATTGGTTATGGATATTTTGCTGAAATTCAGGTGGGAGGGCAAAGTAAACTGGTTTATACACCAATTCCAGTGAAATGTTTTTAGTTTTGGCAGAACATTTCCTGGCTGGTACTTTCCCTACTTTCCTTTTAGGCTCTAGTTAAATTTTTTTGGTATTTGCTGTCGACAGTTCGTGTTAATATTTTACAAGATCTTATGCCATGTGTGTCTCCCTCTCAATAATGTTTCCTTCTCACTTTTCAGTTTTGCTCCTGGTGGAAAACCTAGCAGCTTGTTTTCCAATGTACCATTTAAATTATGTGTGAAAAACTTTTTTGTGTTTATGAATAGCTGCTTTCGATTACTATGTCTTACTTAACAAATTTCACAAAGAGACCATACATTACAAATTGTGTTTTCAGTGCACTCGTGTGATGTGGACACCACCCCTCCGGGAAAGCTTCTCCTATCCATTCCTCGTACTTCAGATGTTGCTTGTGACTCACATTCTCAGGTAACTTTGACTCTCCTTAGGTCTTTGGTGTGTTTGTTTTGCACTGAGTAAACTTAAGCTAGGATTTTTTTTAAGTTTCCATAATAAAAACAGTCAGTGTAATTAAGAAAAATTAAGATGATGTTGGTAAGTTGAATTCATGGTTATTTTAAGCATGTCACTTCAAAATATTTACTACCGAAAACATTTCCTTCGTCTGCCCTCCAGTCTTCTTCCTTTTTCCTTAGTGGCCCACAGAGCTGCTCAAGGAGCAGCAAATTTGCTTTCACTTCTGCCATCTCCACTTTCCTATGTCATTCTCTGCTACCATCACAGCTTCCCAGAAAGTAGGCAGGAGGAAGGGGGAAGACTGATGGCAATAGAGCGTGACCTGTATGATAGAGTCCTTCAGAGGAAAGAACAGTTTGTAGAGTAATCGTGGCGGGGTATGTTAACATGTTATTCTTCTTCCTATATTTGCTTAGCATCCTGGAGCATCAGATAGTAGGCTTAGAAAGAAACCACTCAGTAGACCAGAGCTAAACTAGGAAAACTCCTGCTGGAAATTCAGGATTGGATTGGGTTCTCCCATGTTCATCTGGCCTTCAGCTAGAGACCTTACAGAGATTCAAGCACCATATGAGTGGAAGAGAATAGGACTGAGAACAGTTCGCTCCCCTTTCTGTCGACAAATACTGAGTTTGGACAGATGCTACCTTGATTCAGAGGGTAAAAATAAAACAAAATGGGGACTATGGAAAAAAATAGAATGAAGCATGATGAGAATCTGAAGATGGCTCAGACTAAGAACTCCCTTTACGATCTGCAGAATTTAGGAGAAGCTGGTGGAAGTCTGTTACATCAAACCCTTTGGATGGTCCATTTCCCCTTGTGATGACTTTAGCAGCAGTAGAGCAATTATGTGGACTTGTCTCTTAGGTAGTATTTCTAGACAGGGCTCTCTCTGAATGTGGGATGTACTCACTCCATTAAAACTTTCGGGTTTTTATCTAATAAAGTGATTTCATAGCTTACAAATAGGTGACCTAGATTTTAAAAAGACTTGATTGAGGGACATGATAGAAAGAGTTGGATTAGAATAGCAGAGGGGGATGTCCTTGGAGAAGGGATACTTAGGGAAGTAAAGAAAGGCATCTTGTGGTGCTTAGTGCCCCAGTAGGTTTATCCTGAGGAGCTTTTCTTTAAGGTGCAGACCTAGTAACCTTTAGATGCTGCATATACACTTCACTTTGCGAAGGCGTTAAGTGTTTTGGGGTTTCACATGAGCTCACCAATTTAAGAGAAAAGTACTTCTTAAATTACCTCACCTTTCTAAAAACCCCCTAAACTGCAAGTCAGGACCAAAGAGAGGCCTTGGCTCCAGATTGGCCCCTGGCCTTTGCCACCTCTTCTCGTTTGTGTGTTCTTCCGTGCAGGACCCAGCTGTCCCCTCACATCCTCCACAGAGTCGCCCACTGCTCAGCCCATATTCTCAATTCTCTTTGTCTGCAGAACACTGCTAACACTTGGAATACGCTGCTCTCTCTGTTTTTTTATAGACATTCTCTTTCTCTCCAAATGAAGCTATTGGATGCAGCATTAAATATGTTTGATCATGAATTTACCAAAATAGAGTTTGACAAAATTCAATGGATGTACTGACCCAGCTGCCCTCTCTGTCTTTGGCAAGCTTTGTTTTTACAGTAATAATGGGCATTTAGTTTTCATGGAAAGTTGTTGTAATTGAGTGTCAGGAAGTATAATTTCGAACCCACTGGTTCATCTTATGTGTGGTTTATGTTATAATGAGATCATGTTTAGAGATCCTAATTTGCAGCAGTTTGGGCCCATGCTAGAATACCCTGTGGTCAAACTTACTGATATTTATTTTCTCTTCCCAAGGGCTACAAAACTTTACAGGGGAAGCTTGATTGCACTCTGCATTTCCAATGTATTTTTCATGCTTCCATGGCAGTTTGCTCAGTTTGTACTTCTTACTCAGGTAAGGTACTTGTATTTTTAAGCAGAATTAAGCTTGGTGTATTTTATTTTGTGAACTCATTTGTGTAAAATTATAGAACTGAGATCTTATATGATTCTAAGTCCTAAAATGTTTTCAGTTAACACTTTTAAAGAAAGTTCAGGGTAGGGAAATACATGATATTTATTTACTAGTGAATATTAGTTATTTACTTACTAGTAGAATGCATTTATTGAATTCAAATCAGTAAGAATCCTTTGTTATTCAGTATTGTTAGTGTCCTTAAAAGAGGACTAGCGCTATAACTTCAAGCATTTCTCTTAAATAAATGTAGTTCTTTTATGAAGCATTCTTACACATAGGATAAATGCATATAGGATAACATAAGACAAATAAATAGTTCTTATTTATATAACTCCTCTACCAGTCTGTAATTTGTCATTTTTCTGTGCATTCTTGCCTCCCTTTCCCTTCAAGTAGAGGTGTTTGGAGCTAGGTGAAGGTGCCTGCTGAGGGAGGGAGTAAACTGTGTGCCAGGCTCTCCCTGTGCTGCTCCCACCCCCAGCAACTTCTGCTTCCTCGCTCTGCTGTCCGTATTCATGTTCACATAAAGCAGCTTGGAGTTGTTCTGCAATCTTCTGGGACATGTCTTGCTTGAGTCCTAACTGTCCACTAGCACTTTGACCTGGACAGACTGCTTAGCTGTGCTTAGTTGCAGTTTTCTCATTGGTGAGATAAAGAAAATAAAAGAATCTGCTTCACTGGATTAGGATTAGATGAGAAAATGTGTATAAGACTGAATGCAGTGCTGGTACTTAGCAAGATGTCAGGAAGGTTAGCTGCTTTTTTCAGTATTTTTAAAAAAGAATCTATTTGTACTTAATTCTTGCTTTGATCCTACCTTTTAGATTCCTTTGTCTTCTTTAGCGTGGTGACATTTTAAATGTTTCTGGTTAAAAATGTCCCTGAAAAGAAAATGAAACAAAAAAGAGTCCCTGAAAGACACTTCTTAAAGATTCTACCCTTGTAGGTCCACAGTGTATTGCTTGGCCCTGGGGTGGAAAGGGATAGTTCCCATGTCTTCCAGCTAGGGGTGATGACCTGAGTTTTGGGAGGGTGAGTGGGAGAAGGTGTTTCATGGAGTGTGGGGCTTATGTCGAGTAACAAGGCATACTTCCTCACAGTTACAGTGTCATACGAGTCTCCTCCTTCAGCAATGCAGTGTTCCCCATGGATAAATCTGGGGAAAGGGAAATCTTGTTTTTCTTGCTCATGCGAAAAACTGTCTTAGATTGCTTGGAGGTAAAAAAAAAAAAAGAATGAATAAAACTTAAGTTATATCTTTAAGTATTCAGCTACTTTGCTGCTTATTTATACCATGTTTGTGTAGCAGGGGAAGCATGGGATTTAATCTGAGTTGCTTTCTCCACGCAGAAGGGTGGAGAGGCATTGTGTGGCATAGTAACTACATTTTACTAAGAGGTACATCATCATCATTTAATCAATTAATTCACCTAAATAACTCCAGTACTCTTTGAATTCTTGGTCAACACCTACATAGGTTTCTTCAAAACTCTAAAGAAAGTTAAAAGTAATGAAAGTACTCCTTCTAATTTGAAATTTGATAAATTTGATTACAACGAATACTTGAATGTTTATATAAACGAAAGAACAGTAATGGAGATTCTTGTAAAGAGTGACTAATAAGCAGGGGCGCCCGGGTGGCTCAGTGGGTTAAAGCCTCTGCCTTCGGCTCGGGTCATGATCCCGGAGTCCTGGGATCGAGCCCCGCATCGGGCTCTCTGCTCAGCGGGGAGCCTGTTTCCTCCTCTCTCTCTGCCTGCCACTCTGCCTACTTGTGTTCTCTCTCTGTCAAATAAATAAATAAAATCTTTAAAAAAAAAAATGTTTAAAAAAAAAAAAAAAGAGTGACTAATAAGCAGAACTTAATGCATTTTTATACACATGCATTACGCAATTACTTTTGAGTTTAATGTACCTTTCCCAATTATGTATTAATTGTCATCTGTTATAATTAAATTTTCGTATTTCTTGATTGGGCAAAAGCACTTTGTAACTGTACATGTTGGCATTAGAGTCACCCTGACATTAAAGTGAATATTGTTTTTGAATTTGTTTTGAATATTGTTTTGAATATTGTTTTGAACAAAGTAGATAATTCACAAGGTTAATTGAGAGAGCTGTTCATGGAAGAAAAAAATTTAATCTGTATTTGCTAGATTAATATATTGACTATATTCAGTAATAATTTGACAGGTCAGAGGAAAATTAAAGAATTCCTTTTGAGGGGCACCTGGGTGGCTCAGTGGGTTGGGGCCTCTGCCTTCAGCTTGGGTCATGGTCCCAGGGTCCTGGGATTGAGTCCCGCATCAGGCTCTCTGCTCAGCGGGGAGCCTGCTTCTTCCTCTCTCTCTGCCTGCCTCTCTGCCTGCTTGTGATCTCTGTAGAGTAGACGAAGTCTTTAAAAAAAAAAAAGAGAGAGAGAAAAAAATTCCTTTTGACTATAAATACAAATCAGTGTGAGAAAACAATAAAAAATAATCTTTTTTTCATTCTTATAGCTATTTGTTACATATGTAATTTTTATTTGTAATTTAACTTCTTTTTAAATTTCAGATTGCTTCATTATTTGCAGTATATGTTGTGGGATACATTGATATATGCAAATTACGGAAGATCATTTATATACACATGGTAATGGTTTAAATTTTTTTTTCCATTTAGTTTGACCTTAAAACAAACTCCTGATTAGTATTTGTATTGCACATGGTTGAAACTAGTTGTGACAGGATTCCATAACTAAAACAAGTGTCATCCAAATGCTGTGATATAATTAAAGGCCATGTTTTAAATAGGCCACCCAGAAAATTTTAATTTGGGTCATATTATCTGATTTGAGATTGTGCCTGACTTGCTATAAGTAAAAGAGATAATTCATGAGAGAAAAACAGGGAATGGTATATTATCTAAGAGGCTTCTGTTAAAATGAAACAGAATGTTCGTTTGCTGTGCACCAACTATCCAGGTGTGTGGGTCATACCGCAGAATAGAAATACAAGGATCCCCGCATACATGTTGATCACACTTTGGTAGAGTGGAGGAAGGTGAGAGGACAGAGGATAAATAATAAACACCGTAAATGGGCAACTTATATATAGTATGTTAGAAGGCAATAAAGGATGATCAAAAAAAAGAAAAGAACAACTCATGGTACCCCAGGGAGATCAGGAGGGCCAGTGTAAGGGGGCAGGGGATTAAGATAGCAAATGAGGTGGTGAGGGCAGGTCTTACTGATAAGAGGAGAACGTAGCAAAGATTGGGGGGAGAGGGGGTAGTTAGCTAAGTAGATGTCATGAAGAATATTCTTGGTACTAAGACTGGATGGTTGATTTTGGGAAATGTTTATCCTTTAAAAAACATGTCTTCTTGTTGTCATTAGCTCTACAATTTTGAAGTTTTCTTTTTCCTAAAATTTTGATGTTATAATATGCCACATTATTTTTTATTCTCTTATAATTGATACATATAAAAGGACATTATAATATGTATAGGGAAGTAATGAACAAAATTATCATATGAATAAGCTTGAGCCCCCCCCCCCCCAACTGAACACTAGAACTGTCACTGCTTAGAAGCCCTTGTGTGCCCTGGGATTATCCCCTCACTTCTAGAGAGAACAGCCATCCTGACCTTTTAACTTATAACTAGCTTGCTTTTCTTTATGACTTTACCATATATGTATTCCTAAATAATACATCTTTATTATTAAATATCAGTATTGTTTTTAAGTTTCATAAAAATGGTATCTGTTTATCAGACTTATATTTTTACTTAGGTTTCTGAGATTTGGATGTTATGGATTTCAGACATTTTCTTCCCTTTATATTTTCCATTCTATAAATAAAGCACAGTTTATTTGTCCATTTTCTTGTTGAAAGACTTTAGGGTTTTTTTTCCCTCTTTTTTTCTTCTTTGAATAACACTGAATGTTGTCACACATTCCTCCTGAGGCATAAATGCTAAGAGTTTCTCTAGGGTCTTTACCTGGTAAATTCCTGGGTGGTAAATTATATCCATGTTCATCTTTTTAATTTAATCCTACATTGTTTTTCAAAGATGATTGGACTACCTTGAACAGTAATGTATAATATTTTAGCTCATATTTTTGTACATCTTCTTTTATTTTATCATAAAATGGGTGAGTATAAAATGGTATCTTATGGCCTTAATTTGCATTTTCTCTGATTCTCAATAAAGCCAAAGGTCTTTTGATATGTTTATGGGCCCTTTGTGTTTCCTTTTTTGTGACATTCCTATTTTTGTAGCGTTCCTATTCAAATCATTTTACCAGTTTCTCTCTTATATCCAAGAGAAAATGGCATCTGTTTTATTTGCTGCAGTATAATCCACTGTTTTCATTATTTATTTTTATGCTTTTATGCTTGACTTGTTCCTGATTTGGCCAGCTGCTTTAAGCTGGCTTCTTTGTCCTTTTAACATATCCTCAATCTTTGAGCACTTCTTAAAAGAAATTAATAAAAGCTAAACTTCCTCAAACACTTTTCTGTGTCTGGTTGCGTGATCCTATGTGTTTTTCCCTCTAATATGTTACTGCGATGAATTATATTAATTGATATTCTGCATTAAGAAAACCTTGCTTTTCTGGGCTAAACACAACTTTTATATATTGCTGGATACACTTTGCTGCTGTTTGTTGGTATTTTTAAATCTTTGTTCGTGAACGGGGTTGGACAGTAATTATCCTTTCTTTACACTTGGCTTTTTTCCCCCCCAAACTGTCTAATACGGCTTTTGTTTTTTCCTTTGCATCGCAGTAAAAAATCAGAATAATTGGTTAGCATTTAGAGTCAGTCAGCCACATGGCCACATAGGAAACTGTGGATGAGGTGTTTGATTCAATTACAGCTATAAAAGTACTAACATTACGGAGGTGTAATTTGTAGTAGGACCTATCTTGGGTGAATGGTTTATGTTTTACGGTATGACTTACTATGGAACTGGTTTCTTACTGTGGAGTATCTTCTTCCATTATCCCTTTACAAATGTCTAAATCCCTATAGTTACATAAAGGAAAAAAATACAGAATTGTTTCCAAAAAGGAATTTTTTTTTCACATTTTTTATTGTGGTAAAATACACATAACATTTCCTGTCTTAATCTTTCTAAGTGTACGTATCAGTGGTATTAAGTATATTCATTCAGTGTTTACATCCACCAGTGCCATCTCCCAAACTCTTTTCATCTGGTGAAACAGAATCTCTATACCCATTAAACAATAACTCCCTATTCCCCGTCCCACCACCCCCAGCTCCTGGAAACCCCCACTCTGCTTTCTATGTGTATGATTTTAACTCTGCTTGGTACCTCATGTAAGTGGAATCATGCAGTATTTGTCTTTTTCTTAATGTGCTATTTTACTTAGCATACTGATGTGCTCAAGATCCACCCATGCTGATGCAAACTGAAGTATTTCCTATCTTATGGCTGAATAATTTTTGCATCATGTATATATGTGTGTGTATGTATATATACACACACACATACCACTGTTTCAAAATCTATTTATTCACTGATGCAAATTTATGTTGTTTCCATGTCTTGGCTCTTGTGAATAATGCTGCAGTGACTATGGGAGCACAGATATCTCTTCGAAAACTTGTTTTCATTTTCTTTGGGATTGCTGGATCTTATAGTAGTTCTAATTTTAATTTCTTAAGGAACCTCCACACTATTTTCCACAGTGGCTGTACCAACTTACATTCCCACCAACAGAGAAAAAGGATTCCTTTTTCTCCACATCCTCCTCAATACTAACCTCTTGTCTTTTTTATAATAGCCATTCTGACAGCTGTGAGGTGACAGCTCATTGTGGTTTGGATTTGCGTTTCCCTGATGATGAGTGACGCTGAACACCTTTTCATGTACCTGTGGGCCATTTGTGTGTTTTCCTTAGAAAAGTGTCTGTTCAAGTCCTCTGCCCATTTTTAATCGGATTATATGGGCTTTTGATTGCTTTTTGGCTATCGAGTTGTGAAAATGACGTACATATTTTGAATATTAACTCTGTCTGCTAGATGGTTTGCAAATACTTTCCTCCCATCCTGTAGGTTGCGTCTTCCTATTGTGGATCATTTCTTTCTCTGTGCAGAAGCTTTTTCTTTAGGTTGAAACAGTCCCACTTGTTTATTTTGCTTTTGTTGACTGTGCTTTTGAACTTGTGCAGGACTGTCTACATCTGGGCTGGTATGTGAGGGATGGGCAGCTGCTGCTGAGATAAGAGCTGAAATTCACTGCAGATAACTCAGTTTCCCATCGAAGCGTTCTCCTGGGAGTTGCAAGTCTTGGGAGACTCCTGAGTTCCCACATAGTTCCATTAAGACAAGTTTGGGCAACATAGTTGTTGTCTAGGTGAGGAGATAGATTCCTGCCATTTTCCCAAGATCTTCTGGCTACACTTGGCTGATTTGATATCAGATTTATTGTAGCCCTATAGAATTAATTGTAAAGTGCCCCTACCTTTCCTTTCTGTGGTAGATTTTGTGTGAGATTAGAAAGAATACTCCCTGAAAGTTTGGTGGCTCTCGTCTGCTAAACTATATGGGTCTGTTGTTTTCTTTGTGGACAGATTTTAAATTATTGATCTAACTTATTTCACAATAATAGAACAGTTGAGACTTTTTTCTTGAGTAGTTTTTGGTAACTTCTGTTTTGCTAGGAATTATCCCTAAATTGTAAAGTTCGCTAACATAAGTCATTCACGGTGTTGTCTTATGTTTTTGAACCTGCTAAAATACAGATACTCAAAAAAGACACAAATACTAAATAATTTGTAATAATCTCGATTCTGTACCTTTTAAGTTCTCAATTTTCTTTATTAATTTTCAAATTTACTTCCTTGAATTTAAATTCACTCATGTTTTTGAGCACCCAGTTGTTTGTTAAACATTTCCGAGGTTCTAAGGAAACAGCAGTGATAAAAACAATATAAAGGAGAAAAAAAAAAACCCTTCCCTCATGGAGCGTATATTCTAGAGTACAAAGAAACAAATATGTAAGTTAAACAGTTATGTTAAATGTTAGTAGGCATTAGTGAGGAACAGGGAGTGTGGGATTTGCTGAGCATGTAGGGGAGGTCAGAATTGAAAAGGGTGCAAACACAAGGCCGCTCTGAGAAGTTACATGGAGATAGATTCAGAAGTTGAGGTAGCCAGCCATTAGGGTAAGAGAAACAGCAAGCAGAAGCGCTCTGCCGTGGGGGTGTACCCTCTGTGTTCTAGGATGTGCAAAAGATGGCTGGATTGGAGCGAGATGGGGAAGAATAATGTGAAATGAGGTCCCAGATGTTAGTGGGGTAGGCCCTAGAGGGTCTGGAGGTGTGGGAAAGGCTTTTGGCTTTCCCTTAACTTGAGAATCAAAACCTTTGGAGCATTTGAGCAGGGCACTGACCAGACTGGCTGCTGAGGTAGGAATGGACTTCAAATCTCTCTCCAGACCTTTAGCACCTCCCTTTTTGATACTGCCTTATATTTTTTCTTGAATACCCTTGGCATTGCTTTACCTGATTCTTGGTTATGAATCTATTTATGCAAAGTGATGTTATTCTGCTAAATTTTGCCAAAATTGATTTGGAAAGTTTAGAGTTTGTCTTAAATTTCAGCTCTTATGGGAAAAAGCTATTGTTATAAAATTTTGAGGATTTAGTTGCTTACCTGTTCATAAGTACAGGAGAATAACATACCATGAAAAGTTAAGTTCGTTCCTGGGAATGCAAGAATGATTTGACACCATTAGAAATTATATCACTATAACTTACCCATCAATATATTTTAAAAAGATCAACAATATGATCATTTCCTTTGATGTTATAAAGGCATTTGATAAGTCAGTAGCTATTTCTGATTTTAAGATCTCAATCAAATGAAAATAGATAAGTGTTTCATTGCAATCTTAAATATATACATATACGTCAATTCAAAAGCTAGTAGCATCATACAAAATGATGAATCAATAGTTGTATTCCCATTAATGCCAGAAGCTTGACAAATATGCCACTGCCATGCATATTACTTAGGTTTATTCCAAGAATATTAACTGATACAATTGACTAAAAAATAAGGCTTTTGAAAATTTGAAAGGAAGATGAAGAAATGTTGTTTGTAGGTGATATGATTTCAAATACCAAAAAAACAAAATTAATAAACTAATTATTACTAGAAACAATGAGTGTGTTCATTTCTGCGTATTTAACATAATGTTTCTATATGCAGTCAGAAAATATGATGAGAGGCGGGTGCCTGAGTGGCTCAGTGGGTTAAAGCCTCTCCCTTCGGCTCAGGTCATGATCCCAGGGTCCTGGGATCAAGCCCCGCATCAGGCTCTCTGCTCAGCAGGGAGCCTGCTTCCCCCTCTCTCTCTGCCTGCCTCTCTGCCTACTTGTGGTCTCTGTCTGTCAAATAAATAAATAAAATCTTTAAAAAAAGGAAAAAAAAAGAAAATATGATGAGAAAAGATTCCCGATACAATAACAAAAATAATACACTTAGAAATAAATTTAATATGCAGGATCCATACGAGGAAAATTTTATACCCCCCATGAATGTAAAGGAACACTTAAATGGCAACAACATGTGTTATTTTTGGATGTAAAGATTCAACAGTGGACAGATATAACTTTAAATATGACATGATGTACATTATTGAATAAAGTGGTTCTAATAAATATGTCAGCTTTTGAACCTTAAGCTGATCCTGAAATGCAGATGGAAATTCAAATATATGGATCAAAAATAAAACTTCTAGAAGAAAACATGGATTATTTTATTTTTAAAAACTTTTCTAATTGTAGAAGACCTAAGGGAAATGAAAGATAAATTTAACTAACATAAAAATTTGGAAAATAACTGTAATACAGAAATACCACAAAGATAAAAATGAACTCAGAAAAATATTTACAATGTATTTGCCTGATAAGGAATGATATTTTCATAACATATAAAGAGAGCTCTTAAAAAGCTAAAACCCAATAGAAAAATGGGTGGTAGGAATAAGCAATTCAGACCCACAATAAAAACAACAAATAGAAGAAAAGATGCTCTGTCTCACCAAGTATTAAAAGGATGGAAAAGTGAAACAGTGAAGTGATGTTTTTCTTGGATGAGATGGTCAGACATTTTAAAGAATTGATAAGAGTGTGTATCAGCAGGAGCTCTCATGTCCTACTGGTGAAGGAGTAAATTGGTACAGTATTTTTTATGGCAGTTTGTCAATATTTTTTCAGATTTCAAAGTGTGTATACCCTTGATCCATCAATTCCACTTCTAGTAATTTATCTCATGAGTGTGTTAACATGTATCTAAGATACACACCTAAGGATGTTTATCATAGTGGTGTTTGTAATAGGGAAAACCATATAACAGCAAAATAAAACTAGAAAGTACTTACCTGTTCAGCAGTAGTCCTAGGACTGGTCAGTAAATTATGGTATGACTCTAGAGTGCTGTACTTTTTTCAGCTATTCAACAGAATGAATTAGGTTGGTTTGGATTCATACGGAAAACTCTCTGAAACAGAGCTAAAGCAAGCAGTAGCATCGTGTATGGGCCAAGTTTCCATTTGTGGTTTTTAAAAAATTCAAACTAGACTTTGTACTTGTGAATGTGTTGAGGGATGCACAGGAAACTGTTGATGGTGGCGATCTTTTGGGTTTTAAGTGTGGATAGGACGTGGGCTGTTTTCATGGTATATCCCCTTTTATATGGTTTGAATTTCATCATGGGCATGTGCAATTTTCAGAATAAAAATCCGTGTTCTTTTATGTGCATTAATTATATTTTTCTTGGATTTTTCCAGATTTCTCTTGCACTTTGTTTTGTTTTGATGTTTGGAAACTCAATGTTATTAACTTCTTATTATGCTTCCTCTTTGGTAATTATTTGGGTAAGTGTCTCTTAAGTACATGGCTATTTTTGAAACTAATGGTTCACCAGTTTTTAATCACTGGCTTGGGATTAGTGAAGGATTTTTGATAAGAATTATCTCAGGCATTTTTACTGATTTTGTATATATGTAATAAAGTGTTCCAGTATTCCCTTCCCCAACAGGAAAGGAACACAAGAGTTCATACCGGAAATACGAATATAGCAACATAGCACCTTGCCTTCTACCCCTACTTTGCCCTTTCTCTTTCCTTGTCTTCTCTGTCACATGAATTTTGGTCCAGGGTTCATTTTAGAAAGGTTTTGTGCTTTCTTCTTTTTCTTGTTTCTTCCCCATTGCAGTTTTTCTCCTATTTCTGCTCCATTCTCTGACCCCCTTGCCTCCCTGTGGTGTCTCATAGGAGTCTCTCCTGATTTCTCTGTGATCAGAGGCTTGGGGCCTTGGGTTCTCTTAGGTTTTTTTTTTTTTTTTTTTTTTTTTACTCTTTGTGTCTATTTGTGTAAAATATTAAGATAGTTTAAATCAGGTGATGACTCAGTTATATTTTGCTAAAGCACTGCAAAGAGCAGATTTCAATAATTGGGAGACTGTTTTCTAGAATTAGAGCAAAAGGTAAAAGGTCATCTAACTCCTGCCACTTTTGGCAGGATAACTTAAATATAAGTCTTCCTAAATTTAAGGACTTCCAGAGGTGGGTATGACTTTTTTATGAATAGGCTTCACCATTACAAGATTTTGTTAACCTAAAAGGAAAAAAAAATTCCTATATTTCAAGTGCACATGCTTTAGTATTAGGCTGCTTTCCTGAAGACAAAAGTGCATTGTACTGTCTTAATTGAACTGTATTCTGCTTCTCGAATAGTCGTTTAAGTTACCCAGATTATTTTGGCTTTCTTGATTTCTAGAACCCACAAACAACTTGGGAACTTTGTATTTCTTTGTCCCATTTCACAAATAATATTTAAGATCCTGTTTCCCAAGAATATGCCTCTTCCTAGTCTGGACTGCTTCCCTTTTCAGGTTGTGTGGCTCAAGTATGCTTAGTCACAGATGTTAGCAGTTAGCATATGGGCATGTGGGGTTTTCAGCAATGCCAAAAAAATCATTAATGGAGTTGCTGTGCTTTGAGATTAATGATAGTTCTTACAGTCAGTGAATTTTGTTTGTAATCAGGCAAAGTAACAGTACACTCGGTTCTTTATTTACATGTGTTCACAGGCAAGCCCTGCTATTACTTAAAGTACGTGACTCTTGAAACTTGTGTTCAGGTGCCAATGAAATCTAACCTAAGTACATTTGGCAGGAAACTTCATTCCAGGACCTATAATGTATCAGGTTTTCTTTTAGGTGCTTGACAGTAAGTTGTGTCTTGGGTATGCATTAAGCATATTTATGTATATTTCATATTTGGGTGTATAAAATGATGCCAACGGTTACAGAATATAGAGAATGTATGCATGTAGAACTATAAACACACATTTGCCTATTTTTATTTGTAGTAATCTCTTTGAAACCTAAATCATAATACTTTTTGTATTCTCAGATATTCAGAAACTTCTGAAAAGATTTGAGTTCATGTATTTCTGTTTTGATCTCCAACCATATTTTTGCCAAGTTTGAAGTAGATTTAGTTCCTTATAGGTACCATATGTGGGAGTGTATTAATTTCCTAGAGAGAGAAAAGATTTGGTAGAAGAGGAGTATTTAGTTGATCCATTAAAAACTCACTTGTAGTTTATTCTAAGAGTTGATAATTTTTAATTTAAATCTTAAAACTATAAGACACCTGTCTAAAATTTTTATATACTATATATAATAGTACACAGGCACGCGCATGTGCGCACGCGTGTGTGTGTGAATGAATGATACGGCTTCTGAGGTAAATCTGAAATGTAAAATCCGTCATAGAAATTTATATTTGGTAATTGTGTTTTCAACTTTACGAAGTCACTAACTGCTCTAATCTACATTGGATAAAACAGGGCTATTTCTTAAAGTCAGTGAGCTTGTTGTAATGCTATATGGAACATTGAAAATGTGCTGAATTTTAGATTCTTGAGAGTCTTATTATTTAGAAATGTTTTTTGGTACTTTATGTATGTAAGTATTAACTGTATGCTATGTTATTTTCTCCATGAAGGGTATACTGGAAATGAAACCGTATTTCCTGAAAATAAATGTATCCGAACTTAGTTTATGGGTAAGAATCAATCTATTTGAATGCATAAATTTTTCCTTTCCTAAAATATATCATCAGTTTTATGTCTTACTTTTAAGGAAATTAGCTATTCTTATGTAATCCAGGAGATCTAACAACTTTATGACATAATTAGGGCTCAATTTTAATGTGCCAAATTGCCCTTTTCATGTGGCAAGTTAAAATTAATATTGGGTAGGTGAAGTATTCTGGTTTTACTTATTTTATCACCTATGTTTTTTCTGGGGAGCAGTGCATGTGTAAGAGACTGTTAGTAGAAGGGGAATGTAACTGCAATTGCTGTGTAAATCTATAATTTTGATAGTATCATATGTACATATTTTTATTTTTGGTGATAGCCCCTTGATTTTGGATAACATTCTTTAAGCTACATTTTTTAGCATCTTTTTTGGGGGTATGGAAATATTTATTTCACGTGTGATTAAAGCATTAATTTTTTCCTTCCTTGGCTATGTCTAAGGAATGTCTGTATGAAGCATTAGTTTATTTTTGTTTTGTTTTGTTTTCCTTTTTTAGGTTATCCAAGGATGTTTTTGGTTGTTTGGAACCGTCGTGCTCAAGTATTTGACATCTAAAATCTTTGGCATTGCTGATGATGTAAGTACATTTTTCTTTAACCTGGAAGACTTGTGAAGAATCATACAGGCTAAGAATGAATTACTTGAGTTATTAAAGTACTACTATTTAAGCCAAATTCTAATATGAAGTCTATTCACTTATTATTTTATATAGTTATGATAATAGAAAGCAAATATGACTCTGTGTATAGTTTCTATTCTCCAATATTAATTTCTTGACTCAATCCTGTTATTTTAATTGGTCTTTCTGTATCACAGAGATTTTAAAATTTTAAAGCAAGAAAGCTCTAAAGACGAGCTCAAATTTTAAGGTATATACAGTCATTTTTCTCTGGTTTCTTTATAATCCTTTGGTAACACATCAGTATACCATCTTCAGAGCCTTTAAAAACTATAGGCCATATTATAGTCTTATTTCCCCAAGCCCGTTTCCTGGTCAGTGCTTGTGAAAGATTTATTTATAGGTAATGTAATCCAAGTTAGTCTTATTAAGAGAAGGGTTTTTTGTTGTTGTTTTGTTTTAGTGTTTGGGTAGGAGAGAAAATAAAATGAGAAGAATTCTGCTTTATAACCTTAAGGATTCTTCTCATTCATAATTATTCTTTGCCTATTTTATTTTGGTGTTTTAGTAAACACATTGATTAAATTTTAAAAAGAAGCAGCACAACAACCAACACAGAAAGAGTAAAGCAAACCTCATATTTTTTCTGTAATTTATTTTAATTGGCTATCTTTCCTTCATAATAGATTAAAGCTACAGTTCTGAAACTGGGTTTTGTGAAGTCCTGGAATTTGTATACCTTCTGTGGGGGTCTGTCTACTTCCCAACCTCCCTGGCAGCCTTTCACCCAGGGCAGTTGTGCTTTAATTTCTCACACACTGGGCAATTATGAAGCTTTTCATTTGAACAAGGGAATTTTTTGCTTTAAAATGATTGAAAGCAATTGGGTTGTTCATTGGGCAATCTACAACCTGTAGAAAGTAGAAAATTATAGTCTAAAGTTACTTATTTACTCATTCAGTATGTACCTGGTGATAGAATATATCCTAGAGATACAGAACTGAATAAGATACGGTCTAGTGGGATTTCAGGACCATACATAGCAGCTCTAATATAATGTAATAAAGGCTGTGATAAAAGCAGGAATGCACAGGAGAAGAGTCAGGGAAGGCTCCTGGAAGTCCGCTGAGAAGAGGAGTGCTACAAGGTCATTGAGTAGTGAGGATACAGAGAATGAGTAGGAAGAAAAGGGAGACATCCCAAGTTTGAGGGGAGGGGAATCTTGTCTCCTCACTGGGGAAGACTATCCAGTTATGGTACTGATACAGGTAAAAGTGATGTTGTGATTTCTGTCACACCCTGATGTTCTAGCAAGGACCAAACAAATTAGAGTAATTCAATTGCAACTTCAGTATTTCTAGAAATCTATAACACTGATCAAGGACATCAGCTCATAGATTCTGAATTGTGACATTGGTTAAAGTAAGAGACTGGCAAGGCCACACAGCCTTTAAGAAGCATTTCTGCTCACCCTTCTCTATTAAGATAATTAGACACTGCCCTGTTCTTTAGGAACCACGTGAGCCATTTCTCAGTACATCCTGACTTCCCATCCCTGCTCCTGTCAACACTCTTCTTGGTAGATGTCTGAGGTTGTTTACCAGGGAAGCTTAGTCAGTACTTAGAGACACATAGTTTTTGCTGGGGGCTGGTAACAGGCACCTTCTGCTTGGCATGTATCAAAATTCCAGACTCCCAGAAGGAATGTGGGTGCTCCGCAGAAACCAGAGTGTTTTAGGTACAGGGAGCCACTACTCCTTTTCACTTAGGCTGGTAGGAGCCATCTGAAATCTAAGTTCCCTGATGCCAGCCAAATACCAGCTTTGCAAGCAGATTTTTCAAGGATAGCATCGGGCTCACTATGTTAATTCTCATCTGAACATCAAGTTTGCCCCATCTTTTCCTCTCTTCCACTCTCTGTCTTCCTTGAATCTGCATGCCACCTCCCAGCCAGTTATAGGTTTGTGAAGAAGCTGGGCTCCGGGATCCCTCAGCCTATGTGTGCAGTTTTCCAGGCCACCAGGGATGGGAGAATTGGTTTACCCCCTTGTTGGTTTTCCCATTTCCAGAATCTCTGTAAAGTCTCTAGCTCGTCTGCCAGTCAGCTGTTCATTGCAGGGATGATGCTGCACATTAGGCTGGCAAAGCATTGCCTGCTGTTTGACACTTTTATTAACAGTGTCTCTGATTATAGATTTTTTTGCTCCCTGCCCCCAAACAAGTCAGCACCCTCCCGTAGCAAAGGTTCTGCTTCTCATAGCCAGCCCCACCCTTGTGGACCTCTTGGGCCTACCAACCCCGGGAAGTGTTGTTGCTGCTGAGGGTGGATGGGAGCCTCCCAGGCACGAATGCCACCGACACCCACTGTTTCCCTTCGGAATTAATCAGATTTTGTAGGAATGAGTGCTTCTCAATTTGTTTTCTTTTTGGTCACTTTCTAAAATGGGAAATGGTTGTTTTTGACAGTTTTTTTCTAATTTTATAGGTGTTATTGGGGGAGGGGACTTGTCAGTTTCTACCTCTGCCATTAGGAAGTAAAGTCCCCATTTTCATTGATTCTTGAGTGTTGATCTTTGTATTTCTCGGATAACCTCACTTGCTCATGATATATTATTCTTTCTATAGATTGTTGGATTGGTTGTTAATATTTTTAAGGATTTTTATATAAGGGAGGTTATTAGTCTGTCATTTTCTTATAATGTTTTTGTCTGGCTTTGGTTTCAAGATAATGCTAGCTTCCTTAAATTCTTGGGAAGTGTTCAATCTCATATTTCTTTTTTTAAAAATTAATTTATTTATTTTAGAGAGAGAACACGCATGTGTGTGAGTGCATGTAGGGCAGGGGAGGGGCAGAGGGAGAAAATCTCAAGGAGACTCCCCACTGAGTGTGAAGCCGGACATGGGGCTCCATCTCATGACTTAGGGTTAACCCGTAGGGTTAGGGTTAGGATTAGGGTCAGGGTCAGGATCATGACTGGAGCTAAAATCAACAGTTGGGGGGCACCTGGGTGGCTAAGTTGTAAATCCTCTGCCTTTGGCTCAGGTCCTGATCCCAGGGTCTTGGGATCGAGCCCCACATCGGGCTCTCTGCTCAGCGGGGAGCCTGCTTCCCCTTCTTTCTCTGCCTGTCTCTCTGCCTACTTGTGATCTCTGTCTGTCAAATAAATAAAATCTTTAAAAAAAAAAGAAAAGAGTTGGTTGCTCAACCGACTGAGCCACCCAAGCACACCCAATCTCCTATTTCAAAGAGAATTTATATAGAGGTGATGCTATTTCTTCCGACAGTGTTTGGTAGAATTTGACAGTGAAGCCTTCAGGGCCTGGAGTTTTCTTCATTATAAAATTTTCTACTACAAATCCACTTCCTTTAGGAAGTTATTGGTTGTTTATGTCTTTAGAGGAAACTTACCTATCTCATATATGTCATCAAATGGATCATGTTTTTTTAAAAAATTGTTGTAGGTTTCACTTAGTGAAAATTCCTATTAAAATTTTTGCATGTATGTGAAATGGTCTTTTACATTCTTTTATTATCTTCCTTATTTGGATTCAGAATGAAGATTGTGTTAGTCTCCTATAACGAGCTGGTTTTTGAGGGTTTTTTTGTGTGTGTGCTGTTTTTCCTGCTTTCTATTTACTATATTCATATTTTCAAAGTATCACCCTTTTTTGAGTCTTCTGGTTTTGGCGAATTGCTCTTTGTCACCAAGTTGTGTCATCCTTGTTTCTTATGTCTTTGTGCTTGTTCTGTAGCTTTTTCTAATGCTCAAGGGAAAGTGCTTGGTTCTTTTGTTTTCAACCTCTTTTATTTTCTGATAAATGCATTTAGAGCTATAAATAGCCCTATTAGTAATATTTTTTTCTGTGTCTTACAAATTAACTATTTTGAGATTTTCTTTTTAGTCTGAAGGTTATTAAGTTTTATGTTATTTGGTTTCTAGCCAAAAAGATTTTCAAAGCCATTTCTAGTCATCTTACAATGTTATTGCATTTATGATTAGAAAAAAAAAATTTGTATTATATAGATTCTTTGAAATGTATTGTGGTATGGTATATGAACTTTTAAAAATATTTTACTTATGTTCAAAAGTAACATGTATTCTCTGTGAAGTTTGTGTTTTCCATGAGCATATTAATAATAATATTCAGGTGTTATATTACCAGTCATCTGCTTTTTCTATTTTAAAGGGAAATATTTAACATTTCCAGTGGCCACGATCAACTTATCCTTCTTCCTACAGTTTTTTCAGCTCTTTATACCCTTTGAATCTATACTATGAACTGTAGATATGTTCATGATACATATGACCCGTCTTTGCTGTTCACTTTATGAATATAGAATGTTATTTGTTGTCTCTTTTCATTTATTTTTTGCTTGAATTCAGTTTTGTGAGATGTTAACGTTTGCTAACCTAGATTTCTTTGGTTCAATTTTATCTTATTTGTTGTCCTCTTCCATTTTCAACCTTTCTACATACTTTTGTTTTAAACATGTGTCTTGTAGACAATATAAAATTTGAATTTTTTCCCTGAAATCCAGTTTGAGCAACTGTCCTTTAATTTGTGAACTTAAGGTCTTTACGTATATGGCAGTCATTGTATTGGGACTTATTTCTTCCATTTTGTTTTAGAGTTTCCAACTATTTTACTTGCTTTTTCTATTCTTTCTTCTTATGATTAGATGGTTTTTCTTATGCTATTTAAGGCACTGTATATTCTCCCTTTTGATTTATTAAACTTATCAGTGTACATTTCTTCCCCAACAAAATAAAGTATTTTGGAATTCTTTAGCACATTCCCACCATCCCTTAGTTCCTACTCTCCCCAATCCCCTCCTGCTTCGTGTACATATCATTTAGGATTTTAGCTATGGTTTGTTTTATGTAATTTCCCTCTTCTTCTTCTTTTTTTTTTTTTTTTTTGTTCTTGCTTTTTTAGACAATAATGAATTGAAAATTTGGTAAATGCTTTCTCATTTGGTAATTGCAAGTAATCCTACTTCCCTCACATGACTTTTTATGGGAAGTAGATGAGATGATGAATGTGAGAGCACTGGGTAGCATGTAAAGAATTACACATATAAATGATCATTATTTAAAGGTGGATGTTTTTCCAAAGCCTGCCCATTTTCTACTTCTTTCAAAGTCTTTTTTTTTTTTTTTTTTTTTTTTTTTTTAAAGTGGGCTCCATGCCCAGCAGGGGGACCAGTGTGGGTGGGGCTTGAATTTATGACCCCAAGGTTGACCGGAGCTGAGATCAACAGTCGGACCGATTAACTGACTGAGTCGCCCAGGCATCCCTTAATCCCCTTTTCAGAAATTGATATTAATGTTTTCTTTTCTTTCACTCTGTTGCACTCTGTCCCTTAGGATTGACAGAGGTCTGCATGTGTTACCAAGCCTGCTCCCCCTGGTAGGTTCAGGAAAAGGAGGTGTTGTACAGTGTATTTTGTCAGGTTCAGCACACTGAGCAGGGAAAACCCAGGGAAAAAAAGCCTTTGGTCTGCTGGTGATGGATCGTGGAAGGCGGGCGTTGCTGGAGCTATCATTTGCCAGCAAGAGAAGGGGAACCATGAGGTTGCAGTGCTTTAACAGAAGCAAGTCTGGCATGGGAACAGCGAGCTCTGCGATATAGTGAAAGCTGTTTTTAGATACTATGACGAGTAAAGTGCGTTACTACAATATATGGCATAATCTAATGGTACCCCACGTTATTCCTTCCTAGGCTCATATTGGCAACTTATTAACATCAAAATTCTTCAGTTACAAGGATTTTGATACTTTATTGTATACCTGTGCAGCAGAGTTTGACTTTATGGAAAAGGAGGTAAGATGCAATTTCTAGTTTTCTTTCCTCAGGTTTTGGTCCATTCATTTTTCATAAAGGGCGCTCCTCTCATCTCAGACTCTCCTCTGTGCTCTTACCTCAGTGGGAAGGAGAGGAAAGTGATGGCTTGGAGGAGGACCTTCCTACTACTGTTAGTACGGTCTTTCCTCATTTTGATAATTGAGAAGCATGCCTTCAGACTAGCAATAGTGTTTTGGATGAGTAAACACGGAGACATTTCAAGTAGCCTCGTTTCAGGGATGCTGCTCTCGAGCTCTCACATTTCCATTCACTCTGTGGTTGTTGATTTGAATAATCTCATTGCTCTGAAATATCATTGAGTACAACTTTTCCATTCCAACAGTGTTTTTCTTTCTAAAACTGTATTCAGATGTTTAAAAAGAAAGCAGAGAGTAGCGTGGGGGGTTGTGAGATGGAAGTCTGCGAGAGTACTTGAGGTTCTTGGACAAGCAACTCTCGTTTGTTCTTCTGTCATGGCTTACTAGTTCCTAGTGGTATGCTGCGAAAAGATACTGTGAGAACCAAATGAGATATGTAGAGAAGGATTTGGACATTTTAATGATATTTTGTATAAAATATGTTGTAGCGATCAGTGAGCTGGCTTGGTTCAACAAACATGTATGTATATGTATATATAGTTACAGATATACATATAGATAGAGATATATAGATGTGTGTGTCTTTTTTAACACCACCCATGTGGCCCCAATTTATTATATTTTATTATCTATGAGACATTTTCCTTCAAAGCTCTGTGTGTGTATTTCTTGCACACACACAAACAATACTGTAGTTCCCCTGATCCAGCTAGGTGGCTACGTCTGTGTCCTGAGTTACAGACCAGGGGATGATAGTGTATCCCACTGCACACTCTTACCAAGCAGACATTCTGAATTGAGCACGTCCTGCAGATGTACTGTTTGCTCCAGTGACCTGTCAGTCTTCATTCCCAGGTTCTGGCAAATTTTGACAGATAATGGCTAATATATAGTGTATGAATGATAGTGTTGAGCCCGCCGGAAGAAACTAAAGAAGAGTGTCTTGCGAGACATTCAAATGCATGTTCACAGAAAATCAAGACTCCTTCAAGCAAGTGGTAAAGGAAGTAGAGGGTAAACATCGGTAGAGCGGGAGGATATGGCAGAAGTCCTTTGGCGTTATTGAGGATATTCATGCCACTCTAACCTGATAGTATGCAGCATCAGTGAGATGATAGAAGAAATTGTTTATTGAGGCATAGTGTGACTTCAGTTAATTTGAAGAAAATAGCAAAGCTGTTTGCAGCCTGGTATTCCACATCTCTGTAGGTATCTTCCCAGGGCTGTGCTGTAGAGACAGTGTGGTGCCCGTTCCGAGAAGGCATCCATTGTATGATACACCCAAACACTGGGAGAAAGGAAGAGTTTGTCATGATATTATACTGATATGGAAAGACATGTATCATGGAATGAACAAATGGTATGCCCTTATTTACCTATAATTAACATGCATAGAATAAGGTATAAGAGAACAAAACTTTAACAGTGGTTTTTGACTAGAGAGATAATTATTAATTTTTTTGCAATTTGCATCTTTGAAATTTTATGCAGTAGTCATATTTTAATTGTATTCTGCTTGAAATTATGACCCTGAGGTTGACCTGAGCTGAGATCAGCAGTCAGACGTTTAACTGACTGAGTAAAAACAAAGAGGGGGATCTTTCCTTTCTAGATATAGAAATGGTGAGCAACACTATTTAAAGTACAGCAATTCTAAGGAACATTTTTATGGCCAAAAATAGACAATGCTTGGATAGACCCATGTGTGTGTACTTAACTGTGTTTATGTGTATGTACTTGATATGAAATGAAGAGAGAAGCTCTTGAATACTTGAAAAATGGGATTTGGGGTGAGGAGTTAGGTTAAAGCCTTGTGTCACATTATGCAATAAACTTCAATTCAGTTAATTAATGTGTCAAAATTAAATGAAGCCTGAAAAATAAATTTGAGAGACATTTCAATGAGTATTAGCTTCATTTTTTAATGAGCAAATAGCTGCCCAAAGCACATATGAGAATGATTAATAGATTTGACTGCATGTAACTTAAAACATCTATACATTAAATATTATAAAAATTAAAACGCAAATGACTAACTGGGATGACTCTTGCCATAAATATAACATGAAACTAGGGATTAATGTAGTCAGTATAGGAGATTGTCCAAATCAGTAAAAATTACCGAGGACTCTACCCTTCTCCACCACCAAAAATACATCCTCACTCCCACCCACATGCGGAAATGGGGGAAGGATATGAACAGAAAACTCATTGGGGAAGAAATTTTGATAACTGATTAAAATGTGAAACTGGTTGTCATCTTTATTTTTTCTGCATTTTTTAATTTTTACAATGAGCATGTATAACTTTTATGCTTAGAATAAAACAAAAAAATTCGTGGAAAAGGAACTTATAATTCTAAAGCTCACACACATGTACACACATGCCTACTCTTTTCCCTGTGTGGTTTGTTTCCTTTGTATTTGTTCATGTGCCTATACTCTCCCTGATGGATCTTTTGGAATTGAGGAAATTGTATACTTTGTTTCCTTTATATTAATTCTTTTATATACTAACTCCGGTCCCTTCTGTTGGTTTCCTACTGAGAGTTACACTGAACTTAGTCACTTCTTATCCCCCCCATTTCTAATTTATTGTAATACTATAATCAGTGACAATATTTTACTTCCCATATAGTTACCAGTGACATTATTTTACATTATTCCCTCTGACCCCACTGTAGGAGTCCCACTGCACCTTCAGTATCGAGACACGTAACCACTCATGCTGTTCTATCACCTTTGTATCCCTGCCCTTGTCACAGTTCTGTAGGTTGGTGTTTTTAATGCTGCATGTTCTGGGACAGAAGCCTCTCATGCCTATTTCTTGATTGTGTGAAGCTTACTCCCCAGTGGATTCCTCAGGAAGGGCCATAGGATCCATAATCCCTGAGTTTTCACATGTTCAAATATTTTATCAGTGGCTTTTATATGTGAAGGTCTGGCTAGATACAAAATCTTTGGCTCATGTGTTTTTCCTTGACTGTCTTAAATAAATTACTCCACCATCTTCTGGTCTAAGTGTTGCTGCCGAAGTTTGATGCTAGTCTGATTTTTTCATCTTAAGAAAAATATTAAAAAATATTTTTAAAACAAAGTTTTGGAATATAATTTTAAAATTGTTTGAGTTCTTTGTTAAATTTTGTTAAATACTTTGAATGCAATTTTGATACATTGCCTTTTTAAGGTAAACACCTGAATCTCACAACTTTTCTTATATTTATTGTTAGTTGTTATTAGCAAATGTCTAAATTTTTGAATAATAAAATACTTTTGGTTATATGATTTTTATGAGGTTAAGACAATTAAAATTTACAAAATAGAAATAAATATATTTTAAAAGTATAAGTATTGTGCAAGTGTTTTTATAGGTAAATAGTAAAATAAAAACAAAAAAGTCTCCTTTTAATGAGACTTCTGTGAAGTATGCATTTGGGGGCTAATAAATTATCAAAATTACTTGTTTAATATGGGATAACAAGCAAGAAAAGTGGACTAATGAGAGGGAAAATCAGAAAATACTACTTATATTTTATATTATTAAAATGTAGCAGTGTTTTTAATATGTTGAAACTAGATGTCTCTTGATAAACATATTTGGGAAAGTGTACATTATTTAACTCAATGATACAGGATTATTTTTGTGAGGGTAAATGTTGGTGGTAAACAAATCAATTGCAATTTGGAAATTTCAAGCCTAGAGTTGTTTAAGACTATGACTTCAAATGATTGTGAAATATATAGGATTGCAGTTGTAGGGGTTTGTTATTAACTGTTCCTGTAGTTTTAAGGAAAGGTAAAAATGTTTTTATTTCTCTTGTAAACATGGGTCATTAGTGTGTGCGTGTGTGTGTGTCTTGGAACAATGGTTAAGATTTTTACCCCCCACCAAATGTACAGGAAAAGCTCATGCCATTTAAAGGAGTTCTGCTGACCTTAGGTGAATATTAAGTTGAATTCTCTAGTTAGAAAAGTAGTGTACAAAGAAGGAACAATAATCTTTCCAGTCCCAGTCACATTTTATACTTACAAGTGTTTGGGGACTGTATTTGTGTTTTCAACTCAACATTTTGGGGAAGTTTGTTTCTATGGAAATTCATCTTCATTTTTATGATGGGACTCAAGTCAGTGGGTATATTGGATGGACTCAAATGGGTGAAGGCTCTGTTTACACTTTTTAAAATTCATTTTTTTCATTATTGGAAATGAAATTTTGTCTGAAAATAATATTTTCCTCTAACAAAGAATCTCTGAATTTCAGACTCCACTGAGGTATACAAAGACATTGTTGCTTCCAGTCGTTCTGGTTGTGTTTATTGCAATCGTTAAAAAGGTAGGTCTATCACATCTATTTCTTAAGAGCTCTTTCTTTTTCTTTTTCCTTTTTTATTAATTTATCTATTTTGGAGAGAGTGGGCTAGAGGGGGAGGGGCAGGGGCAGAGGGAGAGAGAATCTCAAGCAGACTCCCCCACTCCCCCTGAGTACGGGGCCAGTTGCAAGGCTAGATTGCATGACTCTGAGATCATGACCTGAGCCAAAGCAAAGAGTCAGATGCTCATCTGACTGAGCCATCCAGGTACCCTTCAAGAGCTCTTTCTTAAAATAAAACACTTTCTTGTTTCTATGTAGTAGTTAAGTATCTTAAGTTACATGTTAATGACACAAGGTTTTATATGGATTTGTTGAAACATATTCTGTATTTTCTCACTTCTAGAACATTTACAAGCCTTTAAAATATTCTACTGTCTGCCAGCATAAAATAGACATAGGAAAAGGATGGTTCAAGTTTTGATAGTCATGTATTTTTGAAAGACATGATCAAAGAGACTATACTGACCCAGATACAGTTATTTTTGTCTTTGTAAATTATTACGACTGACTTTTAGCTTTATGTAATATTTCACTAAAATATTTAAAATATGCCATTCTAAGTCATCCGTGCATTGCGCACAAAGTCCTGGATCAAGTTTATTATTATTGATCCAAAAAATAGAATATTAATAATGTATTAACAACATCAATAAAATTGTTAGACTCCCAACTTGGCTTTGATAATGCAATTCTGAGCCAAGATTTGAATCAGGTCAGGGAAGTTCCAGTTTTTAGCAAAAAACAGGTATGATGTTCTCTTTTTTCTTTTAACATTTGGCAAATTCTGGAACTGCAAGTGTTTTAAGAGAATGAATAAAGATTAATCTGTAATCAAGATAACAGATGATAGACCCTAAAGGTTTTCTGATTTGTAGTTAGTGATCTCTGTGTTAACACAGTGTTATGTATTTGTAGAATATTCTGTGCTGTAATTATTGTTCACATTATATATTTGTACTCTCCCCGAACATATCCCATGTGTTATTGTACCTGCTTATTTGACAGCCCTGTCGGGGATATTATTATCCCCAATTTGACAGATGCAGCTTTAGAAGATCAGAGAGGTTGTTACCAGACTCAAATTGTGTCCATTAAAGAGCAAGGGAAGAGCAAGAATCAGACTCGGCACATTTCCTGCCTTACTGCGTGTTGTGTCGTGTTCAGCTTTGTAGTCTCACAAGCTTTTCAAATCTAATGAGTTTATTGCCAATCAGTTTCTGCTCTATGCTCGCTTCTGTGCTTCCTTTGCACTTTTGCATACTTTATGTGCATGTGCACCCCGTAGGTAATCAAAGAATACCGATGCCGGCAATTCAGAATGCGTTAAAAAGATAGCAACCTGGATGGCTAGAGATGATGAAAACAGTTACATCAGGTTAAAAAAAAAGCTCAGATGTTTGATTTAAAGAAGAAGGATTCAAAGGGGAAAAGGATAATTATTTTCAAATATTTAAAAGCCTGCCACTTGGAAATAAGAGTATACTCATTTTGGCTTCTTAGAATCATCGCCAATTCTAGGGGGAAGGATTTTTGAGCAGAAAAAGTCTGGAGACTGGGAAAGCATGACAAACTCAAGCAGCAGTTGGGTGGTTCTTCCAGGAGGTGGGTGAAAACCTGCGAGCAGTGTCATAGAGGACACCCACCCTGGGGATAGGATTCAGATTCGATGACCTTCCAGTTGCTGCTAAATATGCAAACTCAGTGTTTGGTTAGTTGTACTTATCAGTCTCCAAGCTCGTTGTCCGGATATGTGTATATATGATTGAGGAGAGGCATTGCCAACAACCTCGGCATGGTGTAATTTACTGAATGTGAATTGGAAGCCAGAAGGTCGGGTTTCAGGGCTTCGCAATGGTTTCTAGTTTTTCCACCTTCTAGGAGATCATCTAATCTGTCTGAGTCTGTTTGCTCATTTACAAAACGAGGGTAATGCAATCTACCTGAACAGGGTTGTTGGATATTAGAGATGATCAAGTACTGTATAAATGGAAGAGTTTGGTGTTATAATTATTTCCCGAATTATTTCTTATCTCCATACTTCTTACATTTTTAAGTAGATGTTTGAAAGTTTAAAAGGTACTTTAGTTGAAATTTTGTTTTTCCCAACACAGCTCTTCTAAAGTGTTAAAAAATCTATTTGCAGATTATTAGTGATATGTGGGGTGTCTTAACTAAACAACAGACACATATAAGGTAAATATGCTATTTAATCATTTTACATTAGTAAGTGGATATTTACAGTGTATTTTTATAGTTGATGTTGCACACTCAGCATTTGATAACTAGTGTTTTCAATTGTCATTCCTCGTCTTTGCTTTTCTCATTATTGCCTATCAGTTCAGAGCTCAGAATATCACTTATTCATACTTCAGATTCCATCTGCACAATCTGACTGTGGGCCTACTCATAATCTATACGTGAAGGATACAACTTTGTGCTTCAGTAGTAGGGAACAAAAAATGTTTTAGGACCAATGGGCTGTCTTTTGAGAGAAGAGCAGGGAAATATAAAACTAATTCCATACTTCATGTTTTACACAGAATAAATTCCAGATGGAGCAAAGATTTAAATGTAGGAACAAAATAAAACCTCAATATTAACCAAGAGATTATTTTTAGAATTTTAGGATTAGAGACCTCGTTAAGTATGACATAAAACCTGTAAGCTAGAAGGAAAGATTAAAAAGGTTGGCCAGATAAATATTTTCATTTGATAAGATACTGTGAACATTGTTCAAAGAAGAAGAAAAATGGGGGAAAATACTCACAGTATATGACAGAGGACTAATGACTGGCATACATAAAGGACTTCTACAAATTAATAGGAAAAATGCTAAAACCCCATTAGAAAAATGAGTGAAAGACACGAAGAGACAACTGAGAGAAAAGGAAATTCTCATTTTCCTCTTTTCCATTGCACTCATGTCCCATGGACTTCCTTTCTGCTTTTTAGCCATGGCGGCTGTTTCCTGCCTCTGTGGTTTTGCCCTGGTTGTACCCTAAGTTCATCACTTCGCCCTCTGCTCTCCACAGCCTGGCTCTGTATGTGGCCAACTCCTTTAATTCTTGTGTAAATGTCACCTCCTTCAAGAAGCCTTTCCTGACCATCACTTCTGAGGAGATTCCTTGTCTCCTTGCTTATTATTCTCCATCATCACATGCTTTATCTTCTCTCTCAGCATTCATCACCATTTACACTTGAACACTGGTACACTGCCTGTCTGCTGTGGCACCGCAGTTCTCCCCCTACCTCTCTCTTCTCTAGTCATGGTGTCTTTGTAGTTAGCCCATTAAGGACCTTCCCATTATGGGGCTCTGCACTTTCTGTCTGCCTGAGGAATGCTCAATCTCAAACTCTCTCCTTCAGGTCTTGCTCACGTGTCCCTCAGTTGGTGACCACATGTTTTGACATACACCTTCCTGGTTACCCACACTCCTGGCATCTTTTGCCCTGTTTCCTTTCTCTCCACGGTACTTACCACCATGTGACATATGCTTATTTGCTTTTTGTTAGCCTCCCTTGACTTTGTGTAAGCTCTGTGAGGGGACAGGTATTTTCTTGTCTTATTTACTGCTGGATCTCCAGTGCCATCAGTGCTCAATGGGATTGAGGATGGATGGGTTTGTACCCTGTAGTCCTGAGGGGTCAGTTTTAGTAGGGAGAGACAGTTGGTAATCAAGAAACCAATGAATGAACACTTTAGAGGAGATAAAACAGGGAAATGGAATAGGAGTGATTATCAAGAGGGGCACTGAATATGAGTGTCTCCCTAATGTTTGACGGAGTAAGATTAGTCTAGTGTGATTGGGGCATGGTGACTGAGAGGGAATGTGGTAGATGATGAGTTTCAAGAATGAGAAGTAGGAAGACCATGGGAAGCATAGTGAGGATTTGGGAGTTTATTCTAATTACAAAAGGAATCCATTGGAGGGTTTTAAGTAAGGATTGGCATGACTAGATTCCCATTTTCAAAATATTGCTGGCATCACTGTGATGATCATAGAAATGGGATGGTGGGGGAGGGGGTGTGGGGTCAGAGGGAGTTGTAGGGAGGGCATATAGGCCTTAAAGCATGTATATTTTCTCAGGAAATTAAAACTGTCAAGCAAAACTAAAGGGGGAATTTTGTGGCTATTTGTATATTCCAAAGCCCCCGCTGAAAACATCTTTTTATGTGTGGTTTCCTGAATGATGTCTGTAGCAGTTACAGTTTATGGGGGAGCTCAGAGACCACTGGTGATGAGAAGCAAGGGTGTGGAAGTATGAAGGCTTCAGGCTTCCCTTCACATCATTCTCTGTTTTGCCAGAATATCCCCAGGGAGGTATCTGATAGACCATAGTGTGCCTTTTGTTGGCCCAGTAGTTGTCCATGTAGTCAAATGTTCAGGGTATGCAACATTGTCCTTTAGAAAAAAATCAAATGTCCTTTAAAAGATTGTGACATCAGTTTCAGTTCATAATTGTTATTTTTATTTACATATATGTGTCCTTGGAATATTGTATATGCAACTTACAACACTCGTATTTGTAAGATAATAATGCAAATGATTGAAGTAAGTGCTTCAGTAATGATTCAATAGTAGTATTTCTTACTCCATTTCAGGAAACACCAGTTTGATCACGGAGAGGTAAAGACTCAATATTACTAAAATGTTCTTTATTTTAATGTTTGTGTATATTTGGACTTCTCTTTCTAGTTCCAGTTTCTAGGTATTGGTAATTGTCATTAATCATCTTCAGAATAGGTCTGTATGTGTTTTTATGAGACTGTTACAAACACAACCATTCATTTGTTAAAATAGTTAAGTAGGAAACCCATTTGGTCTGCTCTGCTCATCCTCATGATAACCCAGTTTATTGTGTGAATGGTTGCTGCTCCCATCTCCTGGTGATTCCACCTGTTTTCCTCCCTCCCTTCCTGCTGCCTTCCCTCCCTCCCTCCTCCTTTCTTTCCCCTTTCCCCATTCCCCCATTTCCCCTTCCTTCCTTTCTGTGTTTTTGTTTACTTCTAATAAATGTATGATAGACATTAACATGATATTGGTTTCAGATATACAACATAATTAATCAGATGTGTGTACATTATAAAATGATCACCATAATAAGTCTAGCTAGCATCCATCACCATACAAAGTTACAAAAAATCTTTTTTCTTGTGATGAGGACTTTTAAGATCTACTCTCTTAGCAACAACTTGGTGACTACAGTTAATAATACCGTATTGCACATTTCAACCTGGTTTTGATGGCTACTCCAAGGCAGAGCTCTGGGATCTTAAACAGTACTTATTTTTGTTTACCACTTTCCTGTCTTAATCTGATGGTAGCACCAATGTTGATTCAGAAATGTGGGCTTTATTAACTGCAGGCTTAACTCTGAGCAAAATTCTAAAACCACTTGCAGTACTGACTTATAATTTTAGTTTCTAATAAAATGGAGAAGTTTGAAAGTGAATTTTAAGACTTATTTCAGAAATCAAAATATTGTTATGAAGAAAAATTGCCCTTTTCTGGATATTCATCTATTTAACAATATATTAAACTTCACAAATAGTAGAAATGAAAAAATATTTTCTCTTTCTTTCAGCTAGTTTATCATGCATTGCAGCTGTTAGCATATACAGTCCTCGGTATTTTAATTATGAGACTAAAACTCTTCTTGACACCACACATGTGTGTTATGGCTTCCTTGATCTGTTCAAGACAGGTAAGATGGTTATATTGGAATTATAGTTGCTATGATCACTTTACTCCCGCCTTTGTTATTGAATGGCCCTAAAATAATATTGAGTTAAAAGTCTTTAAATTGTAGTGAAAGTTCTTCATGGTTTTGTATTAATTTTTCCTAAAGGGCAAAGGCCAAAGAAGGTCATTTATTCTAAAGTAGTGTTTGGCATACAATAAATGCCAAGTAGTGTAGGCTGAATTCATGAATGATTGCTACAGATGTTGATAGAAAACAGAGCTCCATTGTAGAAATAATTTTTTATTGTTTTGATATTCCTACCCCAAAGAATTCCAGCCAGTGATTTCAAGTTGCATTTACTTTCAAATAGATGTTCTTTTTCGGCATCAAGCTTTAAAAACCTTTTTTTCACTTGAGTATACATTTGTATGCACATCCCTGACTTGACTTTTTAAAATTTAGTGTAAGCCATTTTGGTTATTTGCTACTTATTTTTCCTGGCTAACTGCCTCCTTGCTCTGTATCCACAGATTTATGCTTCTACACAGTGTCCCCTTTTCATCAGACCATTAGCCAAGATGCAGCAGCAGAAGTTCTCTTAAATTTAGCAAATATTTACTAAGCATCTATAGCATGTTCAAGGGATGAGGGTAGAATGGTAAATAGAGAAATCAAAAAGCAAAAAAACATATATGCCCTCAAAAAACTGGTTCTACAGACATGTAGAGAAATTAAGGAGAGAATGATAGGGACAAAGTGTTATTGAGTGTGGACTATTTAAATGAAAATATCAGCCAGTCTCAAGACTCCCAATCAGAATGGTGGTGTTGTATTAGAGAAACACTGCTTACCTGAGGCCTGACCTAAGGATGAAGACTTCCTTCCTGACTCTTCCAGGCTGGGGCAGGAAATGAGGTTGATGGGAACCCTTGCCTCTTAAATCCCAACCTGCACCATGACTGAAGATAGAGGACCTTGCACCAGGCAGGCTTCACAGGTGTGGAACCTCTGCAAACACATGAGGGCCCACCCTCAGAAGGACCCTACACCTACTTGGATGCTCTTCTGTTGTTCTTTTGAACGTCTAAATAATTTTTGAATAAGAGGCTCCACATTTTCATTTTGCATTGGGCCTGGCAAATTACGGAGGTGGTCCTGGCTTTACCTGAACCTGAATTAGAATAAATTGAGAGAACTGCTTCTTAAATTATGTCCCATCTGTGTAAGGCTAATGGCAAAATTCTTTTAATCCCTCTGGTCATTGTTTCTAGAACTTTCTCTCAGGATAATTAGTTCTTTATCTGAGACTCTACCAGAGAGTGTGTTCTTCTCTGGGAAGAATTTTTGTTGATTGGATGCAGGCTGCTTTGTACTAACAGTTATCAACATAGTCTTCATTTGGTTTCAGCTGTTTGGATGGCTCTTTTGCAAAGTACATCCTGGTGCTGTTGTTTTTGCTGTATTAGCAGCAATGTCAATACAAGGTTCAGCAAATCTGCAAACCCAATGGAATATTGTAGGGGAGTTCAGCAATTTGCCACAAGAAGAACTTATAGAATGGATCAAATACAGTACTAAACCAGGTATGTGTTTTCTCCATAGTTTTATATACCACTGCAAAATCTTAAACCCACATTACTTCCAATGACCTTACTCTTTGTAGGCAGTGCTGCTTCTAGGTTATTCAGAAAAAGAGAGATGTCAATCTTACTTAAATGGTTTGCAAAAGAAATTTATATTTTTTAGTAATCTATTCTGTTTTTTTTCCCATAAATTCTAATGTTTTTGTTTTTCAAAAAGACTTCTGTGGCATGATTTACAATAATTTTTTTGTGCTTATTTTCCAAAAGAGTTTTTAATCTTAGTCCTGCACATTCCTTCTTGAAATAAACTCATGGAAAATGACATTTTATTCAAGGGAGATTTTATTGTTATCTGAGTATCAGATGACTGCATTTTAAATAATTTTCCAGAATTCTTGGTGCTATAAAACTTTCCTAGTCCATCTAACACTTCTTTCCTGGAGGCAGGAAAAATGTCTAGGACATTACAAAAATAAACAAGCAAACAAACCCACACCCCGGAAGTCCTCACTGATGAAAGGAGAAGGCTCTAACTTCCAAAGGAAATGGTTTACCCAAACCAGGAGGGTGATAGCCATTTTACCGGCCAGCTGACTTCAGTCTGGGTCTTCCACTGAATCTTTAAAGTCATGAACCTCGCTGGGCCTCCCCTTTCTCACCTGCGAAGTGACCGAGTTGACCAGAAGGAGACCTTGTAACGCTCACTGAGTGTCTTCCTGAGACTGCCTTTGCTGCTTTGCAGACGCGGTGTTTGCGGGTGCCATGCCCACCATGGCAAGTGTGAAGCTGTCTGCGCTTCGGCCCGTTGTGAACCATCCGCACTATGAAGATGCAGGGTTAAGGTTAGTACACAGCTCTCACATCACCAAAACAAATTTCTCACATAGATCCTGAGTGAGGAAACTGGTAAAATAATGAGGAGTGTTTCTAGAAGGCTGTGGCGAACAGGGATTTATAACATTAGGGGAGAAAACAATGCTGAAATAAGAGGGCTGAGTCAGATACAAAACTGTTTACTGGGGAATAAAACTACAACCTTTGGGGTTCTCTACTAGGCTTCAGAATGAAATCATAGCATGTCCGTCTTCTGCAGGTCAAGAGGGCTGCAAGATGTCAAGGTCCTTATTAGGCATCACTGTCCTTAAGCTCCCCAGAAGATTCATGAGCCGCTAGCTTTTATTAAGCTTTCCTTTTGGCTATTTCTCTTGAATTCTGAGGAGTCAGTTGAAATGGAATCCCATTCAAAGAGGGTTTTATTCTGATTTTCACCCATATAGCCTACTAGAATGATCTTGGTTTTTATTCTTAATATTTTTCATAAGTTAGAGTATTGTGTTCTCTTTGAAAAGGACATAGATTTAATTTTCATGCAATTTCTCGGATAGGTCAAGCTATTCATTTCCTAAGTGATTGAGTGAATCCTATTAATCTGTTCTTTTGTGTAACAGTAAAACTTCTATTTTATAAATAAAAAATCTTTCACTAAAAATTAAATTCAGTAAGCTTATTTCCAGAACAATTGTGTTGAATAAATTTAGTTTGTTTTTTGTTTCCTCAATCTAGGAATAAAATGGAAAGCTATTAATGCCAGTTCTGGCTGCTGTTGAAGTTGGGACTGCATTGCAGCCTTAACGTAGTCTGGTAGCCATGTTTGCGTGCATCTGCGCACAGCGTGCCATCTTCTCATGTATGATAGGGTCACAGAGAATACAGAACAAAACTAAGCAAGCAAACAATCAGAAAGACTAAATTTGGAAATGCAGAGATGCATTAAACCGAACCTCTTCTCCCAGGACTCTTATGCTATGCTTCTGCTTTTTCTTTTGACCTCCCCGATGCCCCGAAGCAGGAATTCTGTGAAGAATTCTCTTGACATGACTCTTCTGTGGAGTCTTTCCTCTTGTTCCTCCCGTTCAGTGCTTTCTTCCAAATAGATTGATTGCATCCTTTTAATTTTGAAAATCTTCTGCCCAATTATTTTTCTTTAAAGAGCCAGAACGAAAATAGTTTACTCAATGTATAGTCGAAAAGCAGCCGAAGAAGTGAAGCGGGAATTGATAAAGTTACAAGTGAACTATTACATTCTAGAAGAGTCCTGGTGTATAAGAAGATCCAAGTGAGTATTCAACACAGTTAGTATTTTATATTCACAAGACATGAAAAATTAATTCAGTCTTTGGCAAGTGCTTTACTCGTATGTGTGAGATATATGTAACATTCAGCACAGTATAAGTGGAAAAAAACTTTTTAGATCATTATTTGAATTGGAATTTCTTTCCTTTCTAGTCATTACAAATGTTTCTTTTATAATGATTTGCATGCATACACTACCTTAAAGGTATTATATTGGTACTGACTGACAATTTCCCAAATTGCTCATATTTGCCTTTGATATTTTTAAAAACTTTTAACTTAAAGTTTGATGTATTTTCTTTTAAAAATACTTGCAGAGTCTGCAACTGAATAATGGTGAGTCTCACTATAATGAAGTAAGGCAGGCAGCTGAGAGTCGCACGCCACAACTCTGCACCGTGTCTGTGAGGGACAGCCCCCCCCCCCAGTGTCACCTTACAGCGCGACCCTTCTTTCTTGCTGTTCCACATCTGATTTGAGTGGGAAATAATTAACTTTACCGTGACCCACATTCTCTTGGGTTTATAGTTTTAAAAACTATTTCCACTCAGAGAAGTCCACTAAGCAGAGGATAGCAAAAGTTAGTAAGATCTTCAAAGCAAATATGAATTTTGAAGTCGACTGTTTAGAAATCTTGCACCTGGGTGACTAGACAGCTGGTGATAGTAGCTTGCTATTAAAATACCAAAGCTCTGGGGTGTCTGGGTGGCTCAGCGGGTTAAAGCCTCTGCCTTCAGCTCAGGTCATGATCCCACGGTACTGGGATTGAGCCCCACATCGGGCTCTCTGCTCAGCGGTGAGCCTGCTTCCTCCTCTCTCTGCCTGCTTCTCTGCCTACTTGTGGTCTCTGTCTGTCAAACAAATAAATAAAATCTTTAAAAAAAAAATACCAAAGTTCTGGCTCCACGAGGAACACAGGCATGAGTAGTTTCATTACAGATCAAGAATATTTTATGGAATACTATTATTTTAAAAATTCTCACTACTCTTTAACTAACCAGAGGCCTTTGGTGGTTGCTGTATTTGTGGCTTAATCATACTTATTCACCATGTATTTCAGTGATACACAAGGATGTTAAGACAAAATAATTAAATATTGACTCAGGAGTGAGAATCGTTCTGTGATACAGGAGCTGTCTGCATTGCCCACAAGGAAACACACAAAATTGTTGATTATTAAATGATTTTCCTATGAATGGGTCCCAGGTGACTTGAATTTAATCAGGATCTATACAAAATGTTCTTAGAGTTGTAATTCAGAAAATGTTTTAGTTCCTTATGAACAGAAGAATATATTTAAAATTCATGTTCTCACTTTTAATTAACTTGGTTATATAAACTTAGGACAAAAAAGTCACAAGCATCTCTCATAACAATTTTATGAGAACATCGTAATATAAATGAATGGTGGGTTGACATTTGCAATCAGGAGAACGTAGATTGGAGATTTCCTCCCACATTGGGATCTTCTTTTATCGCCTTAGGCTTCACTCTCTAGTTGAGTGATCAGCCTGAGACACCTGTAGGTTACTGGAACATAAAAATAATGCTTTGTGACCTTTTTGTCCCCAAGCTAATGATGAGTCTTGATTCAAGAGTCTTCATTTTCTAGATGGTGCATAGTGTTTTGAATATGTGGGAATTGCAGAGGCCGGGGCGCTTTATATTCTAAGATGTTGATGCAGCCCCTTGGATTGGCCTCAGTGCAGTGGTCTCATGTTCTGATGGGCAGAGCACTGTTTTGTATACCAGCAGGGATGAAAGACAAACTTAGGAAATATGGCAGTAAATCTTGTATACTAAACAAGGTCAGCAGTGAATTCACTGACTTTGGATCATTTCCATTTAGCACTCACTTATGGGCACTAAGACTGAGAGTCTGGGGTGGGAGTGTGTGCTCGATTTCCCCATCTGGACCTTGACTTGCCCCTGTTGTTTCCAGCAGGAATGGAGAGGAGGAAGCTAAGGAAGTGAGTTTTTCTAATCTGTTTTCCTCAGTAACTAAAAAAACACTCTTCATCTACTGCAAGATTTAAGCCAGACTGGTAATAAATCTCAGGAAACCTTGGGCAGGTGCACTTGCTTAAACCTTGAAACAAAACACAAGCTGTACCTTCTCTTCTGCCAGGGAACCAAGCCGGGGACTGAAAGGGAAGAAGGACTAATATTTAGTGCAGTAGCACAACTGAGTTTCTTGACAGAACTTTCTATCAGAACTAGGATCTTTAATGCTTTGGCCCCCACTGTCCATGTCAGTTATGCCTGAGACATCTATAGGTTACTGGAACAGAAAAGTGTGTCAGAACAGGGGGAACAAATGGGGACTCGGTAGGAGAGGAAAGGGAAGAGAGACTCTGTATATATCTATCATTTAAACTGTGCCCAGCACATTGGTGAGCACTATATTTATGTGATCTCAGTACCAGTGGCTTTAATTGTGTGGCTTGATTATTCTTTAAATACTTAATACCCTGTTTTCAAATACAAGTAGGAAGATATACTCAAATGAAAGTTGTAGATGGGTTTTTAATTAACTACTGCTTTATTCTTAGTTTTCTGCTTTCTTTCTCATTAATTCCAGTAATAGAATTGACATAAAATTAAATCACATGAATTCAGAAGAAAAGTATTCCCATTTTCCATAATGCTATTTAAAGCTATAGCTGGCTGGCTCCTGGGGGAGCTTCAGAAAACTCAGATAAGGACAACAGGGTGTCACACTTAGGCCGAAAGAGCTCACGAAGGCAGCTCTTAGCCTTTTCTTTTTCCTGAAAGCAGGTGAACTCGGGAACTACGCCATTTTCTCTGTGGGGTGTTATGCTCTTTACCGTCCATGGCCAGCAGTACAGTCACAGCTGGGCCTCGGCCTCTGTGAGGAGATTAAGTGGTAGAAAACCCAAGCCCAGTCTTAGTACCATAAGTGCTCAGTGTTTTAGAATCTGATGTCAGAGAGGGTGTGCAAAAAAATGCCCTCTACACTCTTCTTGAGAACACTCATTAGTAAAACCTTCTGGGAGATAATCTGACAGGGACAAAGTGAAAATTGTATAGCCTTGTGGTGTAGTGATAGTGCTGCTTCTAGAAGTTTAGCTTGCAGAAAGATACCAGCACAAGAAAGTTTATATCAGCATCACTTTACAATGGCAAAATGGGAAACAGAATATCCACCCGTAAAAGAGTAGTTCGTTAATACATAGACGTACTAGCAACTATTAAAAAGAATGAAGCAGATATTTAGGTGCTGAGGTGGAAAAATGGCCCCATTTTCTTGCCAAGTGAGGAGTCCCAAAATAATCTCATTTTTGTAAAAGCAACCCGGGAGCATCTACGTATATAAATCCGTGCTTACGTTTGTATGCACATGTGTCTGAACTTGGGTTAAAAAGGTGTTGCAGAATGGGTGCTAGATTGTGTACACAGGCCACCTCTGAGAAATGGCATTGGAAGTGACAGTGACTTTCATTTTTTTTATTTTGATAGGCCTATATTTTGACAGTTTTGGAATGGTAGTTACCTTTAAATTAGAGACGTTACTAAGAAGACAAGAACACATGTACTCCTGCCATGGTGCTTGCCTTGTGGTACAGAGCAGGGGAGTGGCTTGCCTTTGGGAATAAAAAGGACATGCTGGAAATGGTTTTTTCTCTTAAAGTGAAGCAGCCATGACAAAACCTAAACAATTGCCAATTCTCTGTAATTTTCTGTGTTTTGCATTTTTCTTTTTTTTTTTTAATTTCTCAAATAGCTCATAAGAAATTGTGAACACCCTTTCACCTTTTTTGTTTTCATTGATATTTTGGAAGCGTTCAGGCCAGTGGTCTTCTAGGAATGTTCCATGTTTGGATTTGTCTAATTCCTTCAGCATGACTAGATTGAGTTTAGCAAATTGTGGCAAAAATATTAATTACCCCACAAGGGTTGTCTACAGTCCATAAGTCACTTGGGGAGGTAGAGATCACTTTGTTCTATCATTGGTGATGCTTAAGTTTGACCGCTTGATCTGTTAAGGAGGCGGATCTCCTTCAGAATTAGCAAGAGATCTGTGGAGATCCTTAGAGGCTGTGTGTTTGTCCTCTTTCTCGACAGCGTTTCACCAGCTAGCTCTTGCATCCAGTCTTGATTCTTGCCTGAATCAGTTGTTCCACTGGTCATTATAAAACCGGTAATAAAGATTCGAAAGCACTGTACCAGGTACTGAGTGGTGTGGGCAAGGATGATTTGATAAATAATAATTAATAAATGGACCTAGAGCTGTGGGCTATCTCTATGGAAAAAATTATTTTAAATCTCTACTTCACACCATACAGAAAAAATAATTTCAGATGAGTTATAGGTCTGTGAAAAGCAGAACTCTAAAACTTTCATTAGAAGAACACACAATGCATATTCTCATGATATCATGATAGGGAAGATTTCTTTATATGAGACATAAAAATCACCATCCTTAAAAAAGAGTCACATTTTGGAATATAAGAACACAAAAATCTTCAACATAACAAAAACCAAAAAAAAAAAAAAAAGGAAAAAAAAGAAATTTGTAAACCCTAGTGAAAGCCAACAGTTATATCTAGAACACTGCTTTAGATTGAAAATAAATGTTACAATTATCTGCAGAAGTTATTGGGACAAATATCATACAATACCAATTTCACTTCTACTATTCTTTATAAAATATATTGCTTTTAAAATTTAATTGTGCATTTAGCTAAGATGTGAGCTGAACACCACTGGATTTTCTTTAAATTGACTCATTCTAGGAGACAGTAGTGGGAAGTTGCATAAATTGACCTAAGCATATCTGCCAATTAGAATTTTTAAGTCAGTATAATATATTAACCTCTTACCGTGTGCCAGGCACAGCACTAGCTAGATTCAGTCTCTCTCTCTCTCTCTCTCTCTCTCTCTCTAAGTCCTTATGACACGCCCACATAATGGGTATTCCCCATTCGACAAATGTTGGGAGAGACTGCATGAGCTATCCAAAGCCACATTCTTGCTAAGTAGCTGAGACAGAATTTAAGCAAAATGGTTCTTACCCCACCAACTGAATTCATGTATTTTTGTACATCTGTTTCTTTCTTTATAGTCAACTTTGCTGCATTCACCTTGTTCTAAAGAGAATTTTTGGCAGCTTAAATAAATATAAATAACTACAATGGGATTTTTTTAACCAACTTAATTTACATAGAAAAAACGAAATGGGGGCAGGAATCTAAAAAGTGTGCTTTTGCTTCATGTACTTTGATTTCTAATCTGTACCTTCATTTCTCTAGGCCTGGGTGCAGTATGCCTGAAATTTGGGACGTGGAAGATCCTGCTAATGCTGGGAAACCTCCCTTATGTAACCTGTTGGTGAAGGATTCCAAGCCACACTTCACCACTGTATTCCAGAACAGTGTTTACAAAGTCTTAGAAGTTATAGAAGAATGACTGCTGCCCACAGAGAAGTACATCAGTAATGGTTTTAATGTTTTGCTAATAACTCATGCCTTGTTTTTAATTCAAATCCCAAAAACTTTTATAGGTAACTGTTTTCAAATAGAAAACATTTTCTTTGGTCAATTCGAATGTTGTTCTGATTGTAAAAATACTTATACCTTAATCAGTTGGTTACTCTTTCAATGCACCCTTAAAATTTGCTATGCAAATGAGTATATGTTTGTACCTGACTTAAATATTTGTGCTAAAGTGAGTGAGCAAAGCTGCCTGTGTAAGAAATATGATGGTTTATGACAAGAAAGGTATGAAAATATCGTGAGTTCTGACCATTATAGGGGCTGATTTTAGTGTATGGATTCTTAGTGGCCCTTGCTTCCTTTTCTGCCTCTTGTCATTTGGACATCTCCATGACTGTCATAAGCTCCTCAGTCATGTCGGACCCCTGTCAACAACTTCCGTAAGAGTAGATGGGGCAGACATGGGTATTTGCTATGTGGAGTTCTCTGTTTCACTTCTTCATGTTCTTTTGTTTATTGTTGCTCTTGTTAATGAAGCATTTCCTGCCCATTACTAATCCAGATTTTTGGATCTAGTGGTCAGGATCAAATTCCTGTAATTACCAACCCTGTGGCATTAGCGTGTCTTCTCTCTCTCCTTTCTCTCTCTTTCTCTCCCAGCATTCTTTGTCAAATAAGTGTTATTTACTCATTTAGTTGCTTAGGAAGTACTTATTCTTTGTTAAAAAAAAAAAATTAATGGCAATTGTGTATTTTTCTCATTTTTGGTATTACTCAGATGTTTATATTTTAGTACCTTTAGACCACTGTAAAATTTTTTCATGTTTAATTGTAGTTTTAAGAACAGCTATTTTGAAAGACCCAAATATGATGATGCAAACTAGTGTGTATTTGAGTAGACACAAATTACAGTGTAACAGTAGACTGTAGTATGTGTAGTTTTTCTTTTACTATTAAGATACAATAAAACATGACTAATTTTTCTGTCAAAAAAGTAAACCCATAATGAGAAATGAATGGAATTTTTATATTTTATTTTTTAAATTGCCTGTCTTTAGTAAGACAAAGCCTTAAGCCTTACGTTATAATTTTGATCCCCAAAACTATCATTTCAGTATGAAGAACGAATATACGCAACCTTCCTCTTTAAGTTTTTTCCTTCTTATTTATTTATTTTAAAAGATTCCCAAACCTGCTCTGAATTCCTAGTATGAATTTTTGTTTCTTAGAAGTTAATTTGTGTGAAATGAGATTCTTCAAAACGGTGAATCCTCATAGTTCTGAGAAACGGTTTTAAGATTTTAAATTCTAAGCAAACCATGACTCTGATGGACTACACATTTAATTATACAGTGTTCTCTTTATTAACCACAGGCAGATTAACCTCATTGTGGACTGTCCTTGAGACCTGAGTCCTCAGGGATGGTTTCCGGTGCCCACTCCTGGGAGCCACTGAAGAGCTGTTCCCTTTCTGCCTTCTCACCAGAGCCCAAGGACAAGCCTGGTCTGGGGGAAGCACTAGCTTGCTTAGAGCAGAGAGCTGCAAGGACAGCCTGGGCTGGTGAGTGGGCAGCCCCCAGCCCGCCCCACAGCCCGCGCTTCCGCTTCCGGGGAGCCTCCTTCCAGCGGGAGCTGCCGACAGTGTCTTCAGGTGCCAACCCCCTCCTCCTCGCTCGCTGCTTGACTTTTATTTCTTGGGCTTCTGCCAGTTTCAGAAAATAGGGAAGCAGCTGGGGAGTCGTGGATTAGGAGTAGAATTTGAGCAATGATGCAGCAATCCGGAAAAATGGGAAGAGGGCACTTGAGGCCGAGGTGGCTGAGAGTCGCCGTGGGCGGGGGGAGGGAAGCGCGCTCCGCTCTCTGTGCCACTGTTCACGCCGACATGGCTGTCACCTACACGCAGCGCTGCCGGTTTTTTAAAAATTGTACTTTTAAAGTCACTGTCTTTTCTCCCCACCCTCCAATCATTCCTTTCCTGATGAGGTCACGTGTAATGATTGGAAATTCTGTACAGGAAAAACATTAAAATACCATTTTGACTGTTTCATATGGTGGGAAAAGTTAAAAGTGGTCAATTTGGGTTGTTCCCCTCCCCATGAGAATCCCTTTTGTAACGGTATTTATTAACATAACTACACCAGCGAGCTATGAGTGTATTTTAGGCCAGTCAGTTAAGAACAGAGGCCTTGGGTTACGCGGCATACTCAGCCTTGGTCCCATCTGGTAGCAGCCGGTGCTGTAGAAGATCAGTATCTTTTATGGGAACATAGAATAGTAGTAGTTTCCATATACATGACAAAACAGTATTAAAGCTCAGTATTCTACTTATTTTTAGCATTTGAAAAATTTTTTTTTGCTTTAGTATGAGGAAGGCAAGGATGGGCAAGGAGGTGGTAAAAATAGCCCTTGTTGTGGCATATGAAAAAACAAAATGGGGGCAGTATTTCTATATGCAGAAAAGCCTCTAAAAACACTTCGCAGAAAAAGTATCGTGTTAAAATAGGACAATGATATTAAGGAGAATGTGAAAGGCTGTATCAGGAATAAAGGGATATCACATGGAAGTATCGTATTTTTATGAATTTTATGCCAGTTTTACATGTACTATGTATGTTCAATAAAAAAGATGATGAAAAATCTAGAACATGGCTTTATTTTGTTATTTTCATTTCTACCTTGACCCTTACAATATGTTCAGGGTCATTCTGTAGTCAGATAACCATGAAGTTGGTGTGTGGCAGTCTGTAGTCCTGAATGGTGGGGAAGAGTTCCAACAGTGGGGTGTATGAAACTGCTTAGTCCTCTTCAGTGGAGCCCTGTAGATGCTGGGGTTACCCAAACTTTTCTATATTTATGCCATTACACATTTACATTACTTTAGCATTTACATTGAGGGACACAATTATCCTTTAAAGTCATAGTTTGGGGATAATTTTAGAGTTACTGAAAGCTTTTTCTCATAAATTAAACTGTAGTGTTATCCTATATTTCCTAAATTATATCTCCATGTTTTTGCTTGATAGAAGCATCAGCTTTGTTTATCTACTTACTTATCTGCTTGGAGGAAAGATAGTTTAGCTTAGTTCATGCATGTATAATTAATTCCTTTACACAGTGACACCTTCCTTCTCTGAGCTCTTCGGGGGTGAAGCATTTCTAGTTTAGTGGTTCTCAAATTCAGTGTGCCTCAGAGTCACCTGGAAGGTTTGTTAAAACCCAGGTCACTGCCCCCCACCACAAAGGCTTCTGATTCAGTTCTCTTCAGGTGGTGAGGTGGTCTGAATGTGTCCCCCAAAAATTCATATGTTGATATCCTAAACCCCAAAGTGATTGTATTCAGAGATGGGACATTTGGGAGGTGATTAGGTCATGAGGGTAAAGCCCTCACTAATAGGATCGTGCCCATATGAAAGAATCCCAAGCAAGCTCCCTTGGACCATCCATACTGTGAAGTTAAAACTACAAGGTCCATTTATGAATCAGGAAGAGGGCTCTCACCAGACACTGAATCAGCTGGCACCTTGATCTTGGACTTTCAGTCTCTAGAATTGTGAGAAATAAATTTTTGTTGTCTCTAGGATAGCCCAGATGGACTAAATAGACGGGTCCCAAGAGTTTACATTTCTAACCAGGTCTCAAGTAGTGTTCATGCTCTTGGTCCAGGGACCACAGGAGAGCGGCTGCTCATGGATTGCAAGACTATGTGGATGGCTGGCCTCTAGAGGGCGTTCCCTTCTTGACAGCATTTATCCCACATGATAGGCTACACGGTCCCTCTATTGGAAACTGAATTTTGTAGAGTCCCCTCTTTGTCTTTTGGGGGCATTGCCTCAACCGAACTTGTGAGGAGCGAAGAACAGATATTTTTTAACCAGAACGTTAAAGAAGCTTATTTACATGGTGTTTGCTGAGCAGGTGGCTATGATCATTCAAATACTTTGAAACTGTAAACTAGACTGGGCTTCAAACACTTTCTTTTCAGTTCAGAAATAAAAACGAGAGAAATCCTTTAAAATCGAACTTCCTTTTGTAAAATTACTTTATCTAGAAGAAAATGGATAAATTCAGTGATGTTTGTGGATTTTAGAACTCCATTTTTCACTTTATTACCTTTGTTTGGCCCCAGAAATCTTCAATCTTCTCCCTCTATTAGAGAGCAGCTAAGGACAAGCTTTGAGTCACGGATCACCTGTTTCTCTCTTCTGCCTTCCCTTTTCCTTTCCCCACAACTAGGAGTTTCTAATTTAAATCACTAAAATTGTTCCCTGTGCAGAGAAAAGAGAAGATGCTTTTAAACTTCATTACATTCTTGAATTGGTCTTTATTTCACAGGACTATATCAGTGCAAATACAGTTTTACATTTGGAGTTGAAAAGGACATTAAGGCATAGGAAGGTCTTGAAAATTCTTTCCTTTAACCTTTCCTTCCATAAGAGATTTAAAAATTCTGAGTGAACATACAAGTTGAAGTCTTTTTCTCTTAAGATTTTGAATAATTGTAGTGTAGTTAAAAGGTAGATTTTCCTTTTTGCGCAAAGAGATTAGGATGGTATTGACTTTGGCTCTGCTTTCAAGGCAGTGTTTTCTGTACTCCATTATCTCTAACCCCAAATTCTAATTACTTTAAGTAAGCAGTATGTTGTCAAAATGACTTTCAAATAAATGGTAGTACTACCAAGTATTTTGTTTACGCAGGCATGTTCTTTTTAATTGAGCATAATATCATTTCATTGATTTTTAAGTACCTGGGCTTTTTTTCTGTATGCAAATTTAATGCCTTGAAAAAAAGTTCAATGTAGTGAAATTAAGCTCATTCAGTTGTGATGCCAGTTGCCCTTAAAGCTTTTGTACTTAGCCATTTCTAAAAACATTGAAAGAAATGAAAGCAAGAAATGACCATTTTTAAGTAGAGTTGGCTTTAGGCAACTGAAACTAGTTTAAAAAAAAAAAAAAAGTGCCCGAAGGCAACTCTTCAGCTTGGTTTTATCAACACAGTTCACATCTCTGGCTCTGCCTCTGGGTGACAATCCCCGGCTCACTGGCCAGACCCCTCAGGTCTTCACTTTTGGTATCTGCTTATTGACCAGAGTCCAGATTCAGGGGCCTCCCTTTTGCCCTAAAATAATAATCCCCAGGAAGTGCAATTTGGTAATTCTTCCAGCCCTTTAAATCTATAATGAATTAGACTTTTTCTGACAAAGACCCCATATGGCAGTCATTCTCAAACTTGCTGCACATTGGAAATTACTTGGGGAGCTTCAGAAATACAGAATCTTTTCCTCCCTCCCCCAGAGTTTGGGACTGAATCAGTCTAGGGTGTGGCCTATGATTGGGGATTTTTAAAACTGCCCAAGTAATAGTTTAGACCTGGCCTCCCTGCCTCACTTCTGGATCCACCCTTTCCACATTTCCTCCACCCAGTCGAATCAGAAATGGTCAGCAAGTTTCTCTCATATATACTTTCCTTTATAAAGGATGATGGACTATTTCTACTTTATCAATCATGGAACCTCATGTTGAGTAGACTCAATGCTGTGGAAAGAATGCTGTGTTCAGTTAGAGATCCCTGCCATGGAGTAGATGTCGCATATTCATAAACCCTGTGTAGAGCGTCAGTGAGAAATGGGAATATAATGGCAAAAAATTAAAATAACTTTTCTTTAAAAATCACTGTCCAAAAAAAAAAAATCACTGTCCATTTAATATTAGTGTGGAGAAGTATGTTTCTTCTCTTCCCAGTTTTTTTCTTTTTTCCTCGACTGTATTTCACTTCAAGATGCAGCTCAAGTGTCACCTCCTTCATGAAGCCTTCCCTGACAGACTACCCCTTGGCTGAGTGACCTGCCCCCACTGCCCATGCTCCTATAACCCCTATATTCCACACATATAACAAGACTTTTTCTACTGCATTGTGTCCTGGACTTCTATCTTACTATCTAACTATGTTCTGAATCTACAGTGCCTCCTAGCACCGTTCCTGGCATGTAGTAATGCTTAATGTTTTTGAAATAAATTATACTTCATTCAACTTCAACAAATAAATTCATACAAATTGAATTCAACAATAAATTCTTTCAACAAGGAAATCATACTTCATTCAACAATGCAGTAAATTCCATATAGCAATAAAAATTATTTGAACTAAAAGAAATGGAAGATTATATATTCCAGAGGCAGAGATAAAATAATAAGGACATTCAGAGTACCTTTAGATGAGATTAATATCATATATAGGAGAAAGGATATCCTTGACAAAGAGCAAAACAAAAATTAACCTCAAGACATAGTCTGGCTAGGTATTTTGATACATTCAGACATGACTAGTCACCAGAGAACTATTTTTAAAAAGCAATATAACAAAGAGGAAGGACTCACTGGCCTGGTTTAGGTTGTGTGGCTTAAGATTTGTTGCTGGCCGAGAAGCAGAGAACTCTAGGAATTTGGTTAAAGTATAATAGAAGAAATTCCTCCCATATGGGGAGCGTATTGATGTGTTGTTGCTATATGAGGATATTAAATGAAACATGACAGTGACATAATATTGTCATAATTGAGACAACTAAGTTGGAATCCTGGCTCCATTTTTACAAACTTTGTGAGATAAGATATGTTTCTCATTTTGAGAATCAGTTTTCTTGTCTTTCAACAGGATATGCCTCCTATGGTGGTAATTAAAATCAGAATAGATTGGGACACCTGGGTGGCTCAGTTGGTTAAGCAGCTGCCTTCGGCTCAGGTCATGATCCCAAAGTCCTGGGATCAAGTCCCACATCGGGCTCCTTGCTCAGCAGGGAGCCTGCTTCTCGCTCTGCCTCTGCCTGCCACTCTATCTGCCTGTGCTCACTCTCATGCTCTCTCTCTCTCTGACAAAAAAATAAATAAAATCTTAAAAAAAAAAATCAGAATAGATGAATTCACAAACACACCAGAAAAATTTAACCTACCTCTCTTAGAAATTGATATAATAAGCAGGCAAAAAAAGTAAGGATAGACATAATTCAAGTAATAAGAAAAGGAATCTTGATTTAATGACCATACTTAAAACAACTGCACCAAACAAGGGAAGAATACACATTCCAGGTAAGCATGTGGGACGTTTCCAAGAATTGACAATAGAATGTGAACTCCAGAAAGGCATGAATTTTTGGTCAGTTTTGTTCAGGGATGTAACACAAGCACCGAGAACAATGCCTAGCATAGATGAGTGCTTAATACTTGTCCCCCCCCCAAAAAAAAAAAATTGATCACATGTGGAACCAAATAGCACTTTGAAAACAAATTCATGATTGAAAACCCCTTATGTTAGAAATTAATACAAAAAATCAAAATCAAAAAAACTGAAAAAAATTTGAGGAAAAAAACCCAGAACAATTATATACCACAGCTTGTGCAGTATAATTAAAGAATGTCTAGAAGTATACTTTTTTCCCACTTAGTCTAAAATGCACATTAAACTAAAAATGAATTCAATTATGTCAGAAATATAGACAAAGGATAGCAGCATCCCCTTTCCCCAGCCCATGACAGGTAATAACAAGCAGAACTTGATGAAATAGAAAACAGAAATCAATAAGGCCAAAGCTGGTTATTTAAAATCATTCATAATAAAGACAAAATAGAGGAGGCATAAAATATTAGGAT